ACAACTGGGAACTCTGAAAAACACAAGGTCAAATCATGACTTCAGTGATCTTTAGGTCGTTAATCGGAGCTCTAGAAAGAGGCCCGAGTTCCCAGTTGGAATTCCGAGTTTGATGACCATTCAAAACTATTTTTTCCCAGTCGGAACTCGTTTCTTTCCAAGTTCCCAGTTTTCTTGAACGCACTGAAGTCGGAAGTCGGAGATGTCAGAGTTCCCAGTTCCCCGTTGTTTTGAGAAGGCAGGGTGTATTCCCTTTGAGTCAGGACAACAGTTCCTCTCTCCCACTCAATAACCACCAAGCCTCGGAGTGAAATAGAACATTGTCATGCTCTGATCCCATATCTCCACATAGATTTGTGAACAGGCGTGCGTGCAGTGAATGTGGTTTGATGTACACTACCGGTCAAACGTTTTAGAACACCTACTCATTTAAGGGTTTTTCTTTATTTTTACTATTTTCTACATTGTAGAATAATAGTGAAGACATCAAAACTATGAAATAACACATATGGAATCATGTAGTAACCTAAAAAGTGTTAAACAGATGGAATGCATTTCAATTAACAGGTGTGCCTTTTTAAAAGTTAATTTGTGGAATGTCTTTCCTTCTTAATGTGTTTGAGCCAAGCAGTTGTGTTGTGACAAGGTAGGGGGGTATACAGAAGATAGCCCTATTTGGTAAAAGACCAAGTCCATATTATGGCAAGAACAGCTCAAATAAGCAAAGAGAAACAACAGTCCATCGTTACTTTAAGACATGAAGGTCAGTCAATACGGACAATTTCAAGAACTTTGAAAGTTCCTTCAAGTGCAGTCGCAAAAACCATCAAGCGCTATGATGAAACTGGCTCTCATGAGGACCGGCACAGGAATGGAAGACCCAGAGTTACCTCTGCTGCAGAGGATAAGTTCATTAGAGTTACCAGCCTCAGAAATTGCAGCCCAAATAAATGCTTCACCGAGTTCAAGTAACAGACACATCTCAACATCAACTGTTCAGAGGAGACTGTGCGAATCAGGCCTTCATGGTCGAATTGCTGTAAAGAAACCACTATTAAAGGACACTAATAAGAAGAAGAGACTTGCTTGGGCCAAGAAACACGAGCAATGGACATTAGACCGGTGGAAATCTGTCCTTTGGTCTGGAGTCCAAATTAGAGATTTTTGGTTCCAACCGCCGTGTCTTTTTGGATGCGGTGTGGGTGAACGGATGATCTCTGCATGTGTATTTCCCACCGTAAAGCATGGAGGAGGAGGTGTTATGGTGTGGGGGTGCTTTGCTGGTGACACTGTCTGTGATTTATTTAGAATTCAAGGCACACTTAACCAGCATGGCTACCACAGCATTCTGCAGCGATGCGCCATCCCATCTGGTTTGGGCTTGTTTTTCAATAGGACAATGACCCAACACACCTCCAGGCTGTGTATGGGCTATTTGACCAATAAGGAGAGTGATGGAGTGCTGCATCAGATGATCTGGCCTCCACAATGCCCCGACCTCAACCATATTGAGATGGTTTGGGATGAGTCGGACCGCAGAGTGAAGGAAAAGCAGCCAACAAGTGCTCAGCATATGTGGGAACTCCTTCAAGACTGTTGGAAAAGCATTCCAGGTGAAGCTGGTTGAGAGAATGCCAAGATTGTGCAAAGCTGTAATCAAGGCAAGGGGTGGCTATTTGAAGAATCTCAAATATAAAATATATTTTGATTTGTTTAACACTTTTTTGGTTACTACATGATTCCATATGTGTTATTTCATAGTTTTGATGTCTTCACTATTATTCTAAAATGTAGAAAATAGTACAAATAAAGAAAAACCCTTGAATGAGTAGGTGTTCTAAAACGTTTGACCGGTACTGTAGTTTACAATCGAAGTTACCTACTCCAGTTGCTCTTGGTGTATCATACAATGCGTCCATATGGCAGAGGGAGACACATTCATAACTAGAGTGCAGAGACTTGCCCGCCGTCCCACCATAGATGGAGCCCCATCTGTGCAAAAGCCCACCATTCGATCCCATGGAATCTGTTTTTCGTCAATATAGCCACGCAGCACACTGAACATCCCCGATGCCGTGTCATACTCAGGAATCATGAGACAGAACAATATGTCCTCGTGATTAGCATCCCCCGACATGTATAGCGAACAAAAGTCAATGCATGGTCATCTCGGCCCTCACAGCTAACGTCCATTTGGAGAGCATAAGCTGGGGAGTTTTTGACTAATTCAGTCAGAGCATATATTCTTCTTTTAACAGAGTTATCTGACAAAGGTATTGATGTGAGTTTCTGCGCCTCTGCCTCCCCACACATTGTTTTCACCATATCAATTGCAGACGGTAATATCAAAGTGTGTGTGGTTTCATAGCATAGCGGGCCTTTCACGGTCGGAATGATTCAAGTGCAACGGTCAAGTGCAGTCTTTTCCCATGATCTAACGGCACTCTTTGGTTGAATTTTATCTTTTAGATTTGAATCATTTTCATTTAGGTTGTTAAGGTTAACCACATTACAATAATTTTGAGATACAAAGACGATATTATAATACATGTCTTTTTTGTATATCTTATTTTTTTCTTCAGGATTTTGGAAATTCTCCCGCGACCCCATTTTCATATCAGGCGACCCCACATGGTCCCCTAGTTTGGGAACCGCTGCTCTAGCCCATCTGACAACTTTCTACTTCAGGGAGAGGAACAGCATCAACATTGCCTTGATATGGTAACTTGACCTACTTTTGCACATTTTCATTCAGTTCAATGCTTTTAATTAAGTCAAGGTTTCCATGTAACTTGACATCCTCACAAACATGGGTTTAACCATGAATGTTGTAAAACCACATACTGGGGGCCATACAACTGACAAACGTGCTCCACAAATTATACAAGTAGGCTGTGGGCAAAGTCATTCAGGGCAAGACACAATGGCGGACGTGAGAGAATGAAAATAGCAACATAGACATCTCCTCGATGCATTTATCCCAACCTGAATACCCAGTGGACTTAGTCCCCTTGATGATCGCTCTAGCTGGAGCGTCACAGATAACAGAGGTGACAATTAGAGAGAACTGTTTACCTTTGATGACAAACCCCGTTTGCAACTCACTAACTAGATCTCTCAACTAGTCACTGAGGGAGCGTGGCTTTGAGTTACCACAGAATAGTGCAATGATGACCGGCCCATTTACGTAGCCCTGAAGTATCCCTAGGATTGGCCAGATTTGTACACAATAACTTTTAAACAATGGCAAGCCATCGAAGTTCAGATGCAATCGAAACACGTGTCTGTCTATCTGGGACTTTAGACCAGGGTTTGAACACTTCCTCCCCATCTCTCCACCAGCTGGCACTGAAACATCAGTGAGTGAGGTATTGCTTCCCACCAGGAGAAGGAGAGTGTCTGATGAATCCTTGGGTTTTCTTGTGGTGGTGTCTGCTGGGGCCAAGGTCTTGCATGGTCTTCAGGAATCTGGTGGACAAGAGCAAAGAAACTGTTGAGGGTCGACTGTCTAAAAAATAAATGGGCGCTAGGAAAGGAAATAATGAATGTCATGCGTTATAGGCTATAGACTCCTAGAGACGTTCATCATCCATATTGTACATATGGGGCCAAAAGGCCATGAAGGTCAAAGGTTGGCCCAGCAGTGAGGGTTAAGCATTGTAACTGAGGCTGCGGTACAGTTTTGGGTTTTATTATATAAAGAATGTGGAGTTCCAGGTCCCAGTGGATATTATATCCACTGGAGGACAAAACAAAACATAAAAATGACAAACTTGAAAAAACATGAGGCTTAAACTGGGTTTTTAGGCTAAGCCCATTTGGCTTGGGCCCTAAAAAGTTATGCTTCCGCATCAAAGGTTTTCCATGTACTGGTCTGGTCTGGTCTGCCCTGAGGCTACATAGCCGTTATGTAGCCGTAGCATCTCCAACTAGACAGATACATTTAATCCAATCAAACAACAAAATATGTAAAATTACAAATAACATTCTCCAAAATATGATAGAATGTAGGCTACCCTAAATGAATCAAAGTTAATGATAATGAAAAGACTTCAACTCAATTAGAGATGGGCTGGAACAACAGCACCCTAGCTCTCTCTATGCTGCTTATCACACCACTGTATAACACCCAGCGGTGCTAAAGCCTTATCCTTGTGGGTCTCAGTTCTGTGTTTTTGGCAGAAAATGCGGAAGTGAAATAATGGAATTTGATGCCATTCCGGAGGACAGGAGTGGGCAACAAGATTTGATATCTTACAATACTGTAACGACCCGGTATTGTGTTCTGTGTTTGTGGGTGTGTTATTGTTCTCATGGGTGCTAGCAGGGGGGGGGGGGGGGGGGGGGGGGTGGGGGGGGGGGGGGGGGGGGGGGGTGGTATGATGGGTAATCCCGCAGGGTTTTGAAATGCATAAATAGGGGTTACTGTCTCCTCTCTCTTTCTATTCGGGATCCTGATCTGCTCTTATGAGTCTGCCACTTAACTTGACATTGTGTATTTGTGTACGTTCGGAATTTAGCGGCGTGGGCTGTGGCCTGAACAATAGCCCAGTTTAGGAATAAACCTGTGTTCTGCCCTGCACACCTGGTGTCCGTCTCTTTTTCCTTTATGACCCAGCCCGGGTCATTACAATACAATACAATTATGGGAAATTAAAGAGCCTAGCGGAATATATCGGAATATATTGCCTGTTTTATTATGAGACCAACAGACCAACATTAATTTGATGAGAAGCGATATATTGCCTTCTGGTCTGTAGGCTATCAAATGGCAACATTGTAGGCCTATTCGACCCCAACAAAAGGTTATGACCAATATGTAAATTTTTTTCATAAATGTAGAAAGTATCAGAGTTGTCTGGTGCATGCATTTTGTTGCTGAAACCAAAGTGCGGTAACAATGCATTTAATTTTTTACTCCACCCGACACCACTCCTAATCTCCACTGCCAATTCGTAATTCCATCCATGACCATGTATATTGCCTTGCAGATTTATCAAATGCGCCACACGCCTGTTTGCCAACCTGTAGCCTACGTGTTGTCCATCAGGTGGTGGGCTCGAGGGCGTTCCGTGTTTGGTGTCAACGAAAACTTCCACATCGTCGCGCTCAGATTTTTCCACGGAGGCAGAGGGACTGAAGGTGGGCCCATTGCCCGCTTCCCCGGGAGGACTGCAAACGTGGCTGCTAACCTGACTTCCACCGTGCAGGGTCGGCCACTGTGCTCTAACGGGACGCCCTGGATCCTCTATCTGTTCGAGGAATGCGCGGAGAATGTGTGGGAATACTGGAGTGTAGTCATCGGGCTGATCTCCATGTTCTGTTTCTTGCTGTCTACTCTACCGTAAGTTTTTTCCACTATTGCAGTAGGAAGGCTTTCTATAAGGAAAAAGTAGATTGTCTTTATAATACTAATTAAAATTAATGATCACAGATGTTGTGATCAACAGCTGCCATCTCACATTTCTCTGACATTCAGTGTTAAGAAGATACTCATGACAGATTAATAAACCCATTATTGATGTATTGCCATAGCAATGAGAGAGAGTCAGTGTGGCTCTGCAAAACCAGTTTATGAGACCTCTAATCCAAGAGACCTCTAATCCAAGTATCTGTTGACATGTCACATCACTCTCTCCTTTTCTTAACCATTCTCTCTGCCTCCATTTTATATCTTGTTGTCTCTCTGTCCCCCCCCCCCCCCCCCCCCCCCCCCCAGACAAGTCTACGAGGCTTATCGCAATGGTAAAGTGGAGGAGGCCATGTCTATTGGCTTTCTGCTCTTCCTCTTCAGTGGGGACCTCAGCAGTCTGATCGGCTGCGTCCTGACCAGCCAGCTGCCCATCCAGGTATCTAACAACAGGCACAACTTCAACTTGCTCTTGTGTGCATAAGGAGAGTTATTGTTTTGATTGCCACATCACTCTATGCTTAGGCATGCCCTGATGCACTGGATAGCTGCTGCATTGAAGCACCTTTTTCAAACATTCAGTTTGTGGATGGAGTTGCTCTTATCTGCATTTACATTTTATCCCAAGGGCATGTTTTCCTTAACCTTGCTCTGACCCTTGCCTATGCAGAGGGTGCCACTGTCAATCATATTTGATTGCTCTCTCTCTCTCTCTCTCTTTCTTCTCTCAGATTGTGACAGTAGTGTTCTACATCTTCACTGATCTCCTGCTCATCTCCCAGTTCCTCTACTACAAGATCAAGAACAAATTGTCTAAAAGTAAGGCCAGCCTGATCATGATATTGCACCGTCCACTCAATATGGAAATACAATAGATTGCCGTGATTGTACATGTGTGAGAATCAGCATTGTTCCTTGCATTGTAGCTAGTGTGCTGTAGGTCCATATTTCCATTGTAAGTGCAATTCTGAGGGTACAATCTGTGTACTCGCATAATGTGCTACATGTTGACAATGCTAACAGCTATGCCCAGCTATCCATGCCTAATGTGTATGACATGACTACGTGTGTGTGTGTGTGTGTGTTTTCAAGTGAAATAGTTCCCACTAAAAGTTGATGACTTTGACAAATGCTCACATTGTAAAGCTCCTTTTGTTAGTCCAGTTTGCAGCCGCAGGGCTGGAACACAAAAGGAAGACATATTGGATTGCTTAACAGTAGGAGGGTGTGTGTTGTGTGTGGCTATGTGGCCAGTGAGGGAGAGAAAGAGAGAGGGAGGTCATACCATGCCTTTACAAGCCCCTCCCCCCTTTCTCCATAGCTCAGGTATCTCACAGGTATTTGTATTGATTAAATATCTACATTGCCACGGCAGCAGCTACTCTTCCTGGGTTCCAGCAAGAATTAAGGCAGTAATATACATTACAATAAAACATTTAAACATTAAAATACATTTTACAACAGATTTCACAATACATTAAGTGTGTTCCTCCGGCCACTACAACACAATCCAGGTGTACGTGTGTGTATAGTGTGTATGTTATGTGTGTTTGTATGTGTGTGTGTGTGTGTTTGTACCTGTGTATGACTCTTCACAGTCCTCGCTGTTCCATAAGCTGTATTTTTTTATCGGTTTTTAAATCAGATTTTATAGATTTTTTTCATTTTTTTAATTAAACCTTATTTTACCAGGTAAGTTGACTGAGAACACATTCTCATTTACAGCAACGACCTGGGAAATAGTTACAGGGGAGAGGAGGGCGTGCTGGCGTGAGTTACTTGATGTGGAATAGAGTTCCATGTAGTCATGGCTCTATGTACTACTGTGCCTCCCATTGTCTGTTCTGGACTTGGGGACTGTGAAGAGACCTCTGGTGGTATGTCTTGTTGTGTGTGCATGGGTGTCCGAGCTGTGTGTTAGTAGTTTAAACAGACATATTGCTGTATTGAACATGTCAATACTTACAAAAACAAGTAGTGATGAAGTCAATCTCTCGTCGACTTTGAGCCATGAAAGATTGACATGCATATTATTAATGTTAGCTCTATGTGTACATTTAAGGGCCTGCCGTGCTGCCTTGTTCTGGCCCAGTTGTAATTTTCCCAAGTCCCTCTTTGTGGCACCTGACCACATGACTGGGCAGTAGTCCAGGTGCAACAAAACTAGGGCCTGTAGGACCTGTCTTGTTGATAGTGTTGCTAAGAAGGCAGAGTAACGCTTTATTATGGACAGACCTCTCCCCATCTTAGCTACTGTTGCATCAATGTTTTGACCATAACAGTTTACATTCCAGGGTTACTCCAAGCAGTTTAGTCACCTCAACTTGCTCAATTTCCAGATTATTCATTACAAGATTCAGCTGAGGCTTAGGGTTTAATGAATGATTTGTCCCAAATACAATGCTTTTAGTTATTGAAATATTTAGGACTAAGTTATTTCTTGCCACCCATTCTGAAACTGACTGCAGCTCTTTGTTAAGTGGTGCAGTGATTTCACTTGCTGTAGTATCTGACGTGTATAGTGTTGAGTCATCCGCATACATAGACACACTGGCTTTACTCAGAGCCAGTGGCAGGTCATTAGTAAAGATTGAAAAAAGTAAGGGGCCTAGACAGCTGCCCTGGGGAATGCCTGATTCTACCTGAATTATGTTGGAGAGGCTACCATTAAAGAACACCCTCTGTGTTCTGTTAGACAGGTAACTCTCAATCCACAATATAGTAGGGGTTGTAAAGCCATAACATCTTAAGTTTTTCCAGCAGCAGACTATGATCGATAATGTCAAAAGCCGCACTGAAGTCTAACAAAACAGCTCCCAAAATCTTTTTATTATCAATTTCTCACAACCAATCATCTGTCATTTGTGTAAGTGCTGTGCATGTTGAGTGCCCTTCACTATAAGCATGCTGAAAGTCTGTTGTTAATTTATTTACTGTAAAATAGCATTGTATCAGGTCAAACACAATTTTTTCCAAAAGTTTACTAAGGGTTGGTAACAGGCTGACTTTTGCTTCCCTCCAGGCCTGAAGGCACATACGTTCCTGTAGGCTTAGATGGCAAATAGGAGTGGCAATATCGTCCGCTATCATCCTCAGTAATTTCCTCTCCAAGTTTTCAGACCCAGGTGGCTTGTCATTGTTGAAAAAAAAAAAAAAATTCCACACTCACTTTACGGATTTCTAAATTATAATGATTGTCTTTCATAATTTGATCAGTTATACTTGGATGTGTAGATTCGGCGTTTGTTGCTGGCATGTCATGCTTAAATTTGCTAATCTTGCCAGTTAAAAAATCATTAAAGTAGTTGGCAATATTAGTGGGTTTTATGATGAATGAGCCATCTGATTCAATGAATGATGGAGCTGAGTTTACCTTTTGCCCAAAATGTAATGTATGGTGCTTCAAAGCTTTTTACTATAATTCTTTATATAATTTATCTTTGTTTCATAGTATAGCTTTTTATTATTTTTGTTCTGTTTAGTCACATGATTTCTCAATTTGCCAATCGGTTATGCAGCCAGACTTATTTGTCATTCCTTTTGCCTCATCCCTCTCAACCATAACATTTTTCAATTGCTTATCAATCCATGGGGATTTAACAGTTTTTACAGTGCATGCTTATTAGTAACTGGAGTAAGCAATTTCATAAATGTGTCAAGTGCAGCGTCTGGTTGCTCCTCATTACATACCACAAACCAGCAAATATTATTTACAAAATCAACATAGGAATCACTACAAATACCATATTGTGATCACTTCATTCTATGGATTTGGATACTGCTTTACAGCTGATTTCTGCAGCATTAGTAAAGATGTGATCAATACATGTGGATTTCATTCCTGTGCTGTTTGTAAACACCCTGGTAGGTTGACTTGTAACAAATACTGACTGTTAGCACTTGGTGGTCTATAGCAGCGTTAGCACTTGGTGGCCCATCCTACAAGAATGGGGTTTAGGTGAGGCAGATGAACCTGTAGCCATGTTACTTCAACAGTACTTGACATGATATCCTCTCTAAGCTTTACTGGAGTGTGGCTCTGAAAATAGACCGCAACACCTCCCCTATTGGCATTTCTGTATTTTCTGTAGATGTTATAACCATCTATTGCTACCACTATATCATCAAAGGTATTATCTAAGTGAGTTTCAGAGATGGTCAGAATATGAATGTCAACTGTTACTAGCGAGTTATCGATTTCATGAACCTTGTTTCTTAAGCTTTTCTGGGATGCTTGATTGTTTTTATTGCTTTATTGGGAAGCTTAGCAGAGGTAGACATACTCGTGTTATTTATGTTGGTGCAGGGTGAGTTTCTTAAGCTACATAAACTACATGACCAACGTATCTGGACACCTGCTCCTTGTCAAACATCTAATTCGAGAATCATGGGCATTAATATGGAGTTGGTACCCCCCTTTGCTGCTATAACAGCCTCTACTCTTCTGGGAAGGCTTTCCACTAGATGTTGGAACATTGCTGCGGGGACTTGCTTCCATTCAGCCACAAGCGCATTAGTGAGGTCGGGCACTGATGTTGGGCGATTAGGCCTGGCTCGCAGTCGGTGTTCCAATTCATCCCTAAGGTGTTCGATGGGGTTGAGGTCAGGGCTGTGTGCAGGCCAGTCAATTTCTTCCACACCGATCTCGACAAACCATTGTTGTATGGACCTGGCTTTGTGCACAGGGAATTGTCATGCTGAAACAGGAAAGGGCCTTCTCCAAACTGTTGCTACAGAGTTGGAAGCACAGAATCGTCTAGAATGTCATTGTATGCTGTAGTGTTAAGATTTCCCTTAATTGGAACTAAGGGGCCTAGCCCGAACCACGAAAAACAGCCCCAGACCATTATTCCTCCTCCACCAAACTTTACAGTTGGCACTATGCATTCGGGCAGGTAGCGTTCGCCTGGCATCCGCCAAACTCAGATTTGTCCGTCGGACTGCAGGCTGTTGAAGCGTGAGTCATCACTCCAGAGAACGTGTTTCCACTGCTCCAGAGTCCAATGGCGGCAAGTTTACACCACTCTAGCCGATGCTTGGCATTGCGCATGGTGATCTTAGGCTTGTGTGGCTGCTCGGTCATGGAAACCCATTTCATGAAGCTCCCGATGAACAGTTATTGTGCTTATGTTGCTTCCAGAGGTAGTTTGGAACTCGGTAGTGAGTGTTGCAACCGAGGACAGACGATTTTTATGCGCTATGCGCTTCAAAACTCGGCAGTCCGGTTCTGTGAGCTTGTGCGGCCTACCACTTTCGCTGCTGAGCTGATGTTGCTCCTAGACATTTCCACTTCACAATAACAGCACTTAGAGTTGACTGGGGCAGCTCCAGCAGGGCAGAAATTTGACGAACTGACTTGTTGGAAAGGTGGCATCCTATGACGGTCCCACGTTGAAAGTCACTGAGCTCTTCAGTACGGGCCATTATACTGCCAATGTTTGTCTATGGACATTGCATGGCGATTGCATGGCGGTGTGCTCGATTTTATACACCTGTCAGCAATGGGTGTGGCTGAAATAGCTGAATCCACTAATTTGAAGGGGTGTCCATATACTTAATGTGGGCTATTTTTAGCACTTTTCTGAGATGCTTGATTGTTTTACTGAGCGGCTTATCAGAGTAAGCATGACAGTCATATTTATGTTGGAGCTGATAGTGCAGGGTGAGCTGCACACAGTGGACTTCCTACTAGGACACACCGCCTCAGTGCTAACAGTATAACTCTGGTTCATAGACACATGATTACTGCATACAATAGCTATAGTATCGACAGAGGCATTCAGCAAACTTAGAAGGACATAAATTAGGTTACTTACACTATAACTTCCAACGCTCCTGGGACAATGTACATTTGCTGCAGCACTACGACAACTCAGTGACACAATGGTGGCGATTTTCTGAGCAGGGCTTCGGTCATTGATAAGTCATTTTCTCAACGCAGCCTTGAAATGCGTGGACAGAGTCCAGGAGCCAAGATGATTTGGATGGACTCCGTCATTCCTGTAGAGTATCTTCTGTATCCAGAAGGTGTCAAAGTCATCTATATAAGCTATGCCAACAGAGCTACAGTAATCTTTTAGCCAGATGTGTAATGCCAGTAGCTTGTTGAATCTCTCACAGCCGTGACCCAACGATGGTACTGGACCTGAAATAATTGGCCGCTTTTTTGGAAACTTTCAGAGTTAGAATCAGTTCTTTTAAAATCAATTTTCAGCAGTTCCAAGTAGCCCTACTAATGTCATTTGACCCCACATGGACTACAACAGCGTCAGTCGTAGAACGGTAGGGAGCAGCCTTGTAATGTCCTGTACTCGTGCTCTAGGGTAGCACAGGGTTTTTGTCCCTGGAACCGAGATCTTTCTCACCATAGAGCTGCTGATGACGACAGCTGGTGCAAAGGCTGAGGTGGTGTGGCTGCTCTTTCGCCTCGAGTGGCCTCGCAGACCGCTCAAGGATCGATGGGCGGTGACGCCTGATGGACCCTAGCCAGCTGTAGAATCCATCGTGGCTGATGGAAGGGCCGGAGTCTCAGACACCCTTACGGTCCGATGAGGGGGGAGTTCTGAAGATCTAAAACCCTGTTAGAAGCCACCGGAGAGGGAGACAGAATAGAGGGCGAAGGCGCAGGTACCCCTTGATCCAATCTTGACGCGGAAACCCCCAGGGATGAAGGCGCCTGAACCTCTGGATCCAGGGTGGTGAAGCTGTTTGAAGTCTGTGTCTGGTCTGGGCTTCCCATCACCAAGGAGGCCCCCATCACCAAGGAGGCCCCCATCACAAAGAAGGCCCACATTGCCAGATGCCGCTGCTTTCTACTTCCACTGCGAGTGACGTATCTCCATGGCTGATTGATAGGATCAAGAACAGGAACATCCACCAAGTCATCCAGAAGCAGCTTGCTGACTCCATTCTCCAGGAAAGAGGGAGACACCTTCGGTGAGGGATCCCTGCAGAGCACCGGCCAGTTGGCTGTGGAGAGCCGTCATGGCGGCGACACTTCCACCAGGCCAGAGTGGCGACCAGCTACTGGAGTAGAGGAGAAGTAGGCGGGCTAGGATTCCCGAGTAGCTTGTGTAGGATTCCCCCAGTAGCTTGTGTAGGATTCCCCCAGTAGCTTGTGTAGGATTCCCCCAGTAGCTTGTGTAGGATTCCCCCAGTAGCTTGTGTAGGATTCCCCCAGTAGCTTGTGTAGGATTCCCCCAGTAGCTTGTGTAGGATTCCCCCAGTAGCTTGTGTAGGATTCCCCCAGTAGCTTGTGTAGGATTCCCCCAGTAGCTTGTGTAGGATTCCCCCAGTAGCTTGTGTAGGATTCACCCAGTAGCTTGTGTAGGATTCACCCAGTAGCTTGTGTAGGATTCCCCCAGTAGCATGTACTGTTGGTAGTAGCATCGGCTAATGTTGGTAGCTATGCAACGCAGTTCCAGCCAGGACAAGTTGCAGGGAAAAAGTTGTCTGAAATCGGTCACCTCTACAAAACCAGGAGGTATAGCAACACTGTGTGTGCGTCTGTGTGTGTGACCCATGTGTGTCTCTCTTCCCCCAGAGCGCCCCATGTTGAAGTGGTTGTGTTTCCTGTGATGCGGGGCTTCCACTGTGGCCCTCCTGATCCTCCCCAAGTTCATCACTGACAACAATACCTCTGCCAACACTGAGGTGACACGTGTGTGTGTCTGTGTGAGAGAGAGGGACCTGGGCCCTGACAGTAAATCTCAGTAAGACACAAATAATGGTGTTCCAAAAAAGGTCCAGTTGCCAGGACCACAAATACAAATTCCATCTAGACACCGTTGCCCTAGAGCACACAAAAAAAACGATAAATACCTTGGCCTAAACATCAGTGCCACAGGTAACTTCCATAAAGCTGTGAACAATCTGAGAGACAAGGCAAGAAGGGCCTTCTATGCCATCAAAAGGAACATAAATTCGACATACCAATTAGGATCTGGCTAAAAATACTTGAATCAGTTATAGAACACATTGCCCTTTATGGTTGTGAGGTCTGGGGTCCGCTCACCAACCAAGAATTCACAAAATGGGACAAACACCAAATTGAGACTCTGCATGCAGAATTCTGCAAAAATATCCTCAGTGTACAACGAAAAACACCAAATAATGCATGCAGAGTAGAATTAGGACGATACCCGCTAATTATCAAAATCCAGAAAAGAGCCGTTAAATTCTATAACCACATAAAAGGAAGCGATTCCCAAACCTTCCATAACAAAGCCAACACCTACAAAGAGATTAACTTGGAGAAGAGTCCCCTAAGCAAGCTGGTCCTGGGGCTCTGTTCACAAACACAAACAGACCACACAGAGCCCAAGGACAACAACACAATTAGACCCAACCAAATCATGAGAAAACAAAAAGAGAATTACTTGACACATTGGAAAGAATTAACAAAAAAACTGAGCAAACTAGAATGCTATTTGGCCCTAAACAGAGAGTACACAGTTGCAGAATACCTGACCACTGTGACTGACCCAAACTTAAGGAAAGCTTTGACCATGTGCCGCCGTAGGCAGACTAGGCTCTCAAGAGAAGACAGGCTATGTGCACACTGCCCACAAAATGAGGTGGAAACTGAGCTGCACTTGCTAACCTCCTGCCAAATGTATGACCATATTAGAGACACATATTTCCCTCAGAGTACACAGATCCACAAAGAATTCGAAAACAAACCCAATTTTGATAAACTCCCTTATCTACTGGGTGAAATACCACAGTGTGCCATCACAGCAGCAGCATTGTTACAACACTGTATATATACATTATATGACATTTGAAATGTCTTTTTGGAACTTCTGAGTGTAATGTTTACTGTTAATTTGTATTGTTTATTTCACTTTTGTTTACTATCTACTTCACTTGCTTTGGCCATGTTAACATATGTTTCCCATGGGGGGGGGGGGGGGGAGGAGAAGAGAGAGAGAGAGAGAGAGAGAGAGAGAGAGAGAGAGAGAGAGAGAGAGAGAGAGAGAGAGAGAGAGAGAGAGAGAGAGAGAGAGAGAGAGACCAATGTGTTGTATCTCATCCTATATCTTCTCTCTCTCTTTGACCTGGTCTCTGACTCTCGCGCTGACTATGTCTCTCTGACTCTCTCTCTTTAGAGTGCCTCTAATAGCGTGGAGATCTGTGGTTATGCCTGTGGATACCTGGCCTCCATGTTCTACCTCTCCTCTCGGTTTCCACAGCTCTACAAAAATGTAAGTGGCAGTCTATGTGTGATTATGGAGGCGAGGTGGGGTAAGATGTGAAGGGACAGCAGTGTTAGGGGACATGAGGAGTGAGAGGGAAGAGGGTGAGAGGAGGGGAAGGAAGGGCTGATAAAGGAAGGCTCAAGGTAGTTGGGGCCAGAAGAAAAAAAGAGGAATGCTGCTGTTTTGAGTTTTTCAAATTAGAACCAGGCGTGAGAGACTGGTGTTTTCTGCTGAGTGATGTCACAGCATCTGGACTGGTGGCTCATGCAGAGAACTCACTGTCACTCCCAATGTGATAACTGATCCTAGGGATGGTCTAAGGGGGAGAGCACAGCTCACATACACGTTTTTTTATATATTGAGTGTCTGTGTGAGCATGCATGACTTACCAACAACAAATCATGCATACTACTAACACATTGTCAAACATTGTGAAAATATGTTCAGAACTAATATTATTTTGGAACTTAACAAAAATGTAGGTAAAATGAAGAAGTAATAGAATGGGGTTAAATGATGAACTATATAACATGGTTTGAAGACCCTAAGCCTAAAATCTCAGCTTTTCTCTGTCGGTTTTGAGGTCGAGAAGGTAACATCTACCTGTCTGTGTCCAGTTTAAGAGGCAGTCTACAGAGGGCACGTCATACATGCTGTTTGCCCTGGCCATGATGGGCAACGGGACCTACGGGCTCAGTGTCATTGTGGTTCTGCCAGCTCTGACCGGCTCCAAACAGACCTTCATCCTCAAACATCTGGCCTGGCTCATCGGCAGCCTGGGAGTCCTCCTCCTAGACTTCTTCGTATCCTTTCTTTTACTCAGAGATCATCATTTCACTGAAAAAAGGATCTGGAATATCTGGAATATTGTTGACTTGTTGTGGTGTGTTTGTGAATGAGCCTTAACTCTCCCAGGTCACCGCCCAGTTCATCATCTACAGGAAGAACAGCTCCGGTAAAACCAGCAAGAAGCTGAAAGGTCCTGAAGTAGAACCTCTGCTCTGTGAAGAGGAGGAGCTGTCCAGGTTCTAGAGTGAGAACACATGATTAAAGTTGTAGCGTTAGAACACATGATTCAAGTTGTAGCGTTAGAACACATGATTCAAGTTGTAGCGTTAGAACACATGATTCAAGTTGTAGCGTTAGAACACATGATTCAAGTTGTAGCGTTAGAACACATGATTAAAGTTGTAGCGCTAGAACACATGATTCAAGTTGTAGCGTTAGAACACATGATTCAAGTTGTAGCGTTAGAACACATGATTAAAGTTGTAGTGTTAGAACACATGATTCAAGTTGTAGCGTTAGAACACATGATTCAAGTTGTAGCGTTAGAACACATGATTCAAGTTGTAGCGTTAGAACACATGATTCAAGTTGTATCGTTAGAACACATGATTCAAGTTGTAGCGTTAGAACACATGATTAAAGTTGTAGCGTTAGAACACATGATTCAAGTTGTAGCGTTAGAACACATGATTAAAGTTGTAGCGTTAGAACACATGATTAAAGTTGTAGCGTTAGAACACATGATACAAGTTGTAGCGTTAGAACACATGATTCAAGTTGTAGCGTTAGAACACATGATTCAAGTTGTAGCGTTAGAACACATGATTAAAGTTGTAGCGTTAGAACACATGATTCAAGTTGTAGCGTTAGAACACATGATTCAAGTTGTAGCGTTAGAACACATGATTCAAGTTGTAGCGTTAGAACACATGATTCAAGTTTAGCGTTAGAACACATGATTCAAGTTGTAGCGTTAGAACACATGATTAAAGTTGTAGCGTTAGAACACATGATTAAAGTTGTAGCGTTAGAACACATTATTAAAGTTGTAGCGTTAGAACACATTATTAAAGTTGTAGCGTTAGAACACATGATTCAAGTTGTAGCGTTAGAACACATGATTCAAGTTGTAGCGTTAGAACACATGATTCAAGTTGTAGCGTTAGAACACATGATTCAAGTTGTAGCGTTAGAACACATGATTCAAGTTGTAGCGTTAGAACACATGATTCAAGTTGTAGCGTTAGAACACATGATTCAAGTTGTAGCGTTAGAACACATGATTCAAGTTGTAGCGTTAGAACACATGATTCAAGTTGTAGCGTTAGAACACATGATTCAAGTTGTAGCGTTAGAACACATGATTAAAGTTGTAGCGTTAGAACACATGATTCAAGTTGTAGCGTTAGAACACATGATACAAGTTGTAGCGTTAGAACACATGATTAAAGTTGTAGCGTTAGAACACATGATTCAAGTTGTAGCGTTAGAACACATGATTAAAGTTGTAGCGTTAGAACACATGATTCAAGTTGTAGCGTTAGAACACATGATTCAAGTTCTAGAGTGAGAAGATTACGGAAGTTCTATAGTGAGAACACATGATTGAAGTTCTAGAGTGAGAACAGTAAGAGAATTCCAGGAATCCTCTCCATAATGTTGACTTGAGACCTAGAATAATCCAACAAATGTGACAGTACACCAATGTTCCCTCCATTTAAGTACAGGTGAATTAAAGGGGGCGTCTGATGTTTGAGGAATGTAATCTCAGTAGAACTATTCTCTCTTTCTTTGTAAGGGGGCTCATGTGATCTATTCCTTATTCCCTTAGTACACTACAGGCCTAAAGGGTGTGTCTCAGTGTCTCACATTGCTCTAGTCTAGTTTGTCAATGGTTAGAGCTCTTGTGTTTTCCAGGATAAGATATGCAATACACTCTGAACTGTTCACACGGCATTGTCGTCTAGGTGAACCGTACAATAGGGAATCATAACAGTGATTGTTCCTGTATGTAGGTTTAAAAACAGTAATGTATCACATTGACAATTGATGTGCCACAAAGAAGCAGGCTGCACCAACAGTAATGTATTTTACACTTGTGGTGAATTTGTTATAGTTTACCCTGGTTTGTTCTAGGAGCAGATTCCGTCGTAATTTAATCCCTATGTAATATAATATGTCATTTAGCAGACGCTTTTATCCAAAGCGACTTGCAGTCATGTGTGCATACATTTTTACGTAACCCACTACCCTGGCGTTACAAGCGCCATGCTCTACCAATTGAGCTACAGAGGACCATAATCAGTAATTTGCTTGGAGTGTTACACAGTGTTTAGATTGTGAAGATGCAGTGATTTAAGCCTCATGTCCTGTGCCTTGCATCTACATGGCTTTTATGTGTTGCTGCAGTGGAGGTCTGAGGGCTGTTTGATGTGTTCAAGCTGTTGCTTTTAAAACCAACAGTTATTTGGCTGAAATCTACCCGTTTTAGCTGAACATCCTCCTTTCCTTATCTCCTCTCCTTAAGTTGTGGCCTAGTTATTTTGCCTATCAGTGGCCACAAAGAATGGAAGGAGGGAGGTTTTTTTTACACTATTGAGTCACAGCCTTGAACATTTAGTTCTCACCCCTTATTGTGGAGTTGTGTCCAGGGGTGTATTCACTAGGAACCAAACGGAACAAAACGGGGGCGGACCTACCTGAATTTGTCCATTAGAAACTTGTTTTCATTGCAACATGTTTTTCAACTGTTTGCAACTAATGAATACACCCCAGTCTTCTATAAGTGCAGTCACATGTTCAGAAAGCTGAGGATCAAGGTTGTGTGGGAACTGGGACCGTTTTATAAGTTGATGTGCCATAACTTGGTAACATGGAGTCATGATGAGTGAATAGAGCTACTAGTGACCGATGGTCACTGCACTTATTAGTGTGTCATGGATGTGATTGGTTGATTGACAGCACAGATTTCTCTACCTCGTCTTTCAGTGAGGGGGATTTGTTTATCTGGCCCGGGTTACCCCGGTGGGAGTAGTTTGAACCGGGTGAAAAGTGATTCAATTCATTTTGGAACCGGGCTGCCTCCCGGGCATGAGCCAGGTGCCCTGCTCTGGCCGACTGCGAAGTCAGCTCAAAACAAAAGTGACGTAATTAAGCACGTGGAGTGATGAGTAGGATTATGTGTTTTCACATGCTAAAGTGATTACTTTTGATAAACATCCTTTATCTGCCTTTCCAATGAAAACTAGTTTGAAAATTCAAACATTTTATTTTATGGAAAATAGATGTCTGTTTCTGGACGATGCACCTAGCTGCCTTGTTGACAACATGACCGAGCGGCGCAGATTACTGTTTGATTTGAGAAGGGCACTCCTCCCTCCCCGCTTTCGCCCGATGACGTGATGGGCCATCGCCCGGTTCAACCCAGGCCAGCGTAATAGAACTCTCTCAGTGTCATAGGAGTCATGCCTGGTGAAAATGTAAATCAAATCAAAATCAGATTTTATATGTCACATGCGTCAGATACAACAGGTGTCACCTTACAGTGAAAAGCTTACTTACCTTAACCAACAATGCAGAGTAAGAAAATATTTGCTAAATAAACTAAAGTAAAAAAAAAAAAAGAAACACAATAAAATAATAATAACGAGGCTATATACAGGGGGTGCCGGTACCGAGTCAATGTGCGGGGGTACAGGTTAGTCGAGGTAATTGAGGTCATATGTACATGTAGGTAGGGGTAAAGTGACTATGCAAAGAAAATAAACAGCGGGTAGCAGCAGCGTAAAAAAGGGGGTCAATGCAAATAGTCTGGGTAGCCATTTGATTAACTGTTCAGCAGTCTTATGGCTTGGGGGTAGATGCTGTTAAGGAGCATTTTGGACCTAGACTTGGCGCTCTGATATCGCTTGCCATGCAGTAACAGAGAGAACAGTCTATGACTTGGGTGGCTGGAGTCTTTGACAATTTTTAGGGCCTTCCTCTGACACCGCCTGGTATAGATGTCCTGGATGGCAGGAAGCTTGGCCCAAGTGATGGACTAGGCCGTACGCACTACACTCTGTACCGCCTTGCAGTCGGATGCCAAGCAGTTGCCATACTAGGCGGTGATGCAACCAGTCAGGATGCTCTCAATGGTGCAGCTGTATAACTTTTTGAAGATCTGAGGACCCATGCCAATGTACTACTTTTACGTGAAGTATTGAAAAAGCTCAAAATTTGGCCTTTGGAAAAATTGGGTTTTGCAAGATGGCTGACCAGCAAATGATTGTGGCCATGAAACAGCAGGAAGGCCATGAACAGAGAGAAATGATGATGCCACTTATTTTCTCTGCGATAAACCTGTAGATAGTTTCAGATTTTGTTTATAATTTTTTTTATATCATTTTAAAGCTAATTATTGGTTGTATCAGACTAACTTTTTTGCCTTTCTCTTGATGAATGAAGTTTGAATTCTGGTTAGCTCAAAGCCTGGCCTCTCTTCAAAGTGTTTCCTATAGATATCTTCCAAATCAGAATAGGGAGATGTATTTATTTATTTACAGTTTCAAGAACAAGGAATCTTTCTGAAATAATTTGTACTTGAATAATGACACTGTATTGCTCTTTTAAGATAATGTATTTATATTTATACTTAAGATAACATGGTATTTTCTTTTCTTTATGATTTAGCCTCTTTAGCCTATGTTATTTTATTTTTTTTCACCTTTATTTAACCAGGGAAGCCAGTTGAGAACAAGTTCTCATTTACAACTGCGACCTGGCCAAGATAAAGCAAAGCAGTGCGATAAAAACAACAACACAGAGTTACACATGGGGTAAAACAAAACATAAAGTCAAAAATACAACAGAAAATATATATACAGTGTGTGCAAATGTAGCAAGTTATGGAGGTAAGGCAATAACTAGGCCATAGTGCAAAATAATTACAATTAGTATTAACACTTACAATATTTATCTCATTGATGATAATGTCCCAGTATCTCAGCTTTGTAGCTCATTGTACACAAGTTAAGCATTCCAATGTGATGCTTATGTAACAAACAAAGATCTCAATAAAGTGCAATATATCAAATGTGTGTGTAGTTTTGTAGTATTTTGTGTAGTATTTGGCAGGCACACAGTTTCAGTAAATATGTATTACAGCTATATTTAAATTACTATATCTATAAACTATAAATATATGGTTTACAAACGGCTTATAAATCCTTTAAGTTGCCCTATACCTTCTATAGTAGCCTTTGGTAACTGGGTGGTTAAGTTAAATGGGAACGCACAGTCTCTGCAACATATCATGTGCATTTTGTAATTGAAATATTCTACATCATACAGTATATCCCAATGCTATGAGGTGTTTGATGGGTTGAGATGGGCGTTGTTTGGGTGGAGAAGATGAGGGCAACCACACCTTTAGACCCGAGGGTGCGAGCTGATTTCATTGGGAGCAGTGTTTCCTCTTGAAAAATGTGTAGCAGTGGGGGGCAAAAGGGTTGCGGGGGATGGAGGTCTGAGAAGCTCAGTTCTGGTGACTTTTCTGAAGGACATTCTACTCCAAAATGAATGAAAATAAAATGATGCTGACACCATCTAAAATATAAAATCCACCTCCAGAAATGAGCCCAATAACATATTGGTAAAACTATTTATTTAAATGATTTTTAACATTGGACCATGCATATATAATGTAGGCCAACCTGTTAGGCTAACTTGGGGTATTCCGCCCCCCAATGGAACACCCGCCTGTACGTCTCACAGAAACCACTTTGTCACTATTCTCCCCTCCCAACACTTTCCCTGGTTACCACTACTCTTGCTGAACTAAAAATCTCATCACAGTTTTTTAAGTCACTCGAAAAAAATTAATTTGAGGTAGGATGGCATTTTACCCCAAGTTACCCTACAATTGACCCACATTACATTTAGCCCCCCTCTCCCATATGCACTCATGGTGAATTGCAGAACAGTAACTGGCTTAACCATACCACTGCTAAAAACTCCAGGTTTACAATGGTGCCGTTCGCGCATATTTAGGAGTTGAGAAATAAATACATTAGGAATGGAAAGCTGGGAGCCACCTCTTTTTAATAAAGGCCATTAAAACTGCTGTTTTCGCGATTGCAAGATTTGTTGTGCATTGACTGCTTGTCAGAATGCATGTTTCCATCCCTATGGCACTCCTAACTTTAATACGCCTCGAGAGGAATATTTATATCGCATATAACACACAACAAGCCGACTAGATAAGTAGATCAACTATTAGACTATGGTGGCTGTCTGATTTTTATATTCATTACTCGTTTTGTTTGCAAAGGAAAACGAAATGCGGGCTGTTCTAACATCTTCAAAGTGCGCCTAAGCAGATTTCTTTTTCATGTTCCTTATTTTTTGTATGGCTGCATGTGCAGGCCGTCAAATCAAAAGCACCCCTTCTATATAAAGTTGTTTTTGACGAAAATGAAAACGTATCAGTTTGTCACTTTCACGAGGTTGGAGTACTAACATGTTCTAATACGTATGAGATTGGCTCGAATCTAAGTTGTGCCTTTAGATTTCGAGAAAATGAATAGCTAAGGGAAGATTTTTAACTTCTCTCATTGACTTCTCAAACCTCAAACCCCGGCCTGGTCTGTTTCTCAAGCGTTCCCGGAAGTCTCCTGATGCGGCGCCTCTGGGTTTAGAAAGTGTGTTCATATCCTCCAACATCCCCGCCCACACATTCCAAAAAGGGTTTGACCGAATCCTGACGTGACCAATGAGTAGTTTGGGATTCATTGGGGAAGGACTTCCTTCACAGTTGCTGTTGGATGCCAGTTTCGCTGCTTAGGTGACACGTAACTAAAGTTAAAGGTGTCGTAGGCCTCGGAAATATCGGGATTTTGACTAATGTTACAGGGCTTGGCAAAGTCTGAACGCGTTGCACTAGGAATCTGTTACATCCTATCTGGTTTTGTTTCGGAATAGAGTGGTGCGCATTGTTTCTACATTACGCACACTGACAAATTCTGCTTCTCATGAAATATCGGAGAGAGTTTGCTGTGTTACATCCAAGGACTCTGCTGTGAAAATCCAAGGAGAAGTAACAACAAACTGGGATTCCTTTGTGGATGTGGCTACACCCTGTTGTGGGCTAAAATGAATCCAACATCTTCACTAAACTTCCCCCAACTCTAAAGTGTTTTTGCTCCCTCTATGTCTAATGATGCTTGGGGACGACTGAGGTGAGAAGGGGCTTGAGAGGTGCTTTGAGGGGTAGTAGCAAAAAGTTTAGCCGAAGTTTCAACAGAAGTGAACGGGAGATTGCTTGTGCAGGCTACGGGGAGGGGAGCTATTCAACCATGGGGAACGGAGTGTGTTCTCGAAGGCAGCGGAGAATCTTCCAGTCTCTCCTTCTGATCACCGTGGTTTTCGGGATGATTTACGGGGGGATGATATCGTATGAGATGCACAAACAGCTGAAGAGGACAGAGGCGATGGCTGTCAAGTACCAGCAGCATCAAGAGTCGCTCTCGGCGCAGCTTCAAGGTAAACGTTTTCCCCAGCCGAGGTTTGAATAAATAAGGAGAGCGGGAGGAGTTCGAATGGGTGACTTTTATTTTTTACTTTAATAACTTTCTTGACATTCTTCTTTACCAATATCTGCTTTTACTAAAATATACAATTGTATCAGTTGCTTTTGAAACAATCTTGCGAGTGTCGAAGTTTTTCCCTGTCACAGCGGTGACTTCTTGTTGGCGTTGGCTGGCTCAGTTTACTGTATTGAGAGGGTGGGTGGATTTGTATGTTTGGACGCAAAACATCGTTCCCCCACCTAGCCTATAGCCTAACATAAATATATATATAAATAAGAATACATGGACCATTTCAAATGGATTGGATAGCCCTTCACTCACATTCTGTCAGAGGGAACTCACTCTATCCTACTCACATTGTTGTGGAGTGGTGATTCAGTTCCCCTCACTGTCATTAAATATCTACGCTCCACTGTTGATAGCATTAATGTGACCTACAGTATATTTAGAGATGGACTGTTACACAGCCTTTGGGGGAATATCGATTCACAGTTTCCCCTTTTTAACAACAGAACAGCCATTAACTTCCATACACTACTAGGGCTTTCGCTGGCCTCAACTCGGCCAACGGCTCTGGTGGCCAAGTCCCACTAAGTATGCTACTGTATTTAAATGTTCTCTAGTAGACATTTTGCAGACACTATCATGCAGAACATTTTACAATAACTGCATTGAAGTGAGGAAGCTAAGTCTCAATCGAAGGGATTTATCAGTCAGAAATACGTTGTTATATTAGGAGGCCTAATCTGAAATTGCATTTTTCTTATGAAACAGCAGAAGGGTGAATGAGGTAGAGACACTAGACAGTGAAACATAAGGATGAGTGTTATTTTTTATTTTCCACTGAAGGAGGAAGAGGCCACTGAAGATGGCCCTGGAACTGTCCTAACCTTTCACCCCTCCAACCCTCACTCTTATCACATACTCACTCCTGTATGTGTGTGGGTGAAATACAAAGGGAGAGAGAAGGATATTATTGCCATGAGGAGAGATATCTTGTATGCTCAGTCATCTTTGTCTTCACCAGTTGTGGTGGAGCAGGTTGGTGTAGCTATGTACGTATACCCAGGTGTAGAGTTGTCACCCGGAGGAGAGAGGGAGTGGCTCAGGTAGGGACACCTGAGAGAGGGACAGGTGAAGGAGACTCTCTAGAGACCCCCTGATATTATGTCATTGTTATTATACATTATGTAGGCATCATGGTAAACTTACCCTGTGAGCTGAAAGAGGAGTCCTGAAAAGGCCACTGGCTCCAGAAGTCCAAACGGCTCTTCCTCTCAGACCAACCCCAGCTCCACACTCTGTACACACCTTTACCTACCTGGTTTCTCCCCTAGCCAGGTGAGTAGTTAGAGTAAGGGGAATTGAAGGTAGCCTACCTGTAGCCGACTACACAGGTCCCCTCTGCACCTGTAGAATGCCGCCCTGTCTGTTTGAAGATCGAGCCAGATCTCACCTGTATAGGGTTGCCCAGTTGAGAGAGAGAGTATTGGAGAGATGGACCTGAGCCCAGCTCTACCAACCAGAGGTCCACTCTCTGTACCGATCTGTCTAACCTGTATAGGGTTGCTCAGGTGAGTAGAATTACAATGGAGGTGGAGCCCAGCCCAGCCCACACACACACACACACACACACACACACACACCTCCCCTCGAGGCCCACGAGTTCCGGGAGAGTTCTATGAGAGTGTGTGATCTGACACTGGGCCCAGTTCACTCCACTACCCAACCCTGACCAGCTCAGTCCCCAGAAACTGCCAAAGGTCAATTTCATAGTGTGCCTTCTGTTCTCTCAGGCCATACACTTTATCAGCCTTAACCATTGGGGGACACACTCTCATGACACCTCTGTTCCCATGCTCACTGAGCTGTCAGAGTAGCACTGTTAGCAGGTAGAAAAGGAATAGTGTTATTTTGGGGGGTTTTAAGGTATAGTGTAACTGAAGGGCAATTCCACGGTAACGGAATTACGCTTTGACTCAGTTTTTTTTTCACTTTAAAATGTATCGCAAAACAAAACCATTGATTTAAAAGTTTAACAAACCATACAACTCTATGCACAAGGACGACTTTTAACAATTTCCACTGAAAAATGTACAAAAATGAATTTAAAGATGCCCGCCATTTCCTGGTTGCAAAAATTGTGACAACGAGCCTGTAGAGAATCATTGTACCATCTAAACCACTGTGACATATATTTTTCATAACCAAAAATATGGCGTTTTCAGCTGGTGTACAAACCCGAAAGTAAAGGAGAATAAAATAAACTTAAACACGGGAATCATAGAAATAGCGCGCCTTTGAACAGATCTACCACTTCTTAGACTTGCTTTCAATGAGAATGGCAGATCTAGAATTCACATTTCATTGTGAATTTAGTGGTGTCTGCCAAAAAGTTTATTTTAAAATGGTTTTAACATTTATGATTTTTTAAGAATTATTATAGTTTTTTATTTTATCCCCCTTTTCAATTACGATCTTGTCTCATCGCTGCAGCTCCCCAACGGGCTCGGGAGAGGCGAAGGTTGAGTCATGCGTCCTCCAAAACATGACCGCCAAACCGCGCTCCTTAACACCCGCCCGCTTAACCCAGAAGCCAGCTGCACCAATGTGTCGGAGGAAACACCGTTCAACTGACGACCGAAATCAGCCTGTAGGCGCCCTGCCCGCCACAAGGAGTCGCTAGAGCGCGATGAGCCAAGTAAAGCCCCCCCGGCCAAACCCTCCCCTAACCCGGACGACGTTGGGCCAATTGTGCGCCGTCTTATGGGACTCCCACTCACGGCCGGTTGTGACTGGGATCGAACCCGGGTCTGTAGTGACGCCTCAAGCACTGCAATGCATTGCCTTAGACTGCTGCGCCACTCGGGAGGCCCACATATTGGAGCTTTAATGGAAGAACTGTGCAGATGCAAACTTTGGTAACGGATTATGGTAAAATCTCCCTCAGGTTTTTATGCGACCATGTTTTCCAAAAATTCTCTTTTAAATATTTGCTCCGAATTAAGATTAAAAGATGTCTGCAGAAAGAATTGTATGACATGAGACCTTGAGTTTGAAAAATCTATTTTGCTTATTGAACTACAGTAAGTGAAGTGAATTTACACCCGGTAACGGAATTACGGTAACAGTATTACACCATGGGTCCCTAATCTGTACTACACAGAAATTCATAATTACGGATGTTTCACAAGTTTGGACATCACAGTTTAGCACAATAGAGTAGAGTACAATACAGCAGAGCATAGGGCAGAGTACAATATACTGTACTGAACAGTACTATACTGTACTTTTCTTTACTGTATTGTACTACTGTATTTTATTGGACTGTACTCTACTGTGCTCTACTTGTCACACCCTGGCTCTGGGACTCTATATGTTGAGCCAGGGTGTGTTCATTCTATGTGTTTATTTCTATGTTGGTAATTCTGTTGTGTTTATTTCTATGTTGGCTAGAGTGACTCCCAATCAGAGGCAACGAGTGTCAGCTGTCGTTGGTTGTCTCTGATTGGGAGCCATATTTATACTGTCTATTTTCCCTTTGTGTTTGTGGGTTCTTGTTCCGTGTTCGGTCATTGTTACCGTGGACTTCACGAGTCGTTTCTTGTTTTGTTGATTGTGTTCTATTATCACTAAAGATAATAAAGTTAAACATGTTCGTTCATCACGCTGCGCCTTGGTCTGTTCATTACGACGATCGTGACAGAAGAACCCACCATGCAACGACCAAGCAGCGTGTCCAGGGGCAGCTCTTGGGCTGGACATGGGAGGAAGCGCCGGGAGAAGAGACGGTGGAGGCGCGCCGTAGAGAGGAGCAGCGGCGCCAAACAGGTCAACGTCGGACAGGCGAGAGGCAACCCCAGAAATTTTTTAGGGGGGGGCACACGGCATGGACGACGGGGCTGACGGAGGCAGAAAAGGGGCGGATTCAGAAGGCCACCAGGTTACGGATACACCGCCCTGTACGTCCTGTGCGGATGCCTCACACAGAGTGTGTGAGGGTAGGCATTCAGCCAGGACGGGTTGTGGCCGCTCTTCACTCCAGGTCTCCTATCCGTCTCCACAGCCCGGTTCGGCCTGTCCCTGCTCCACGCACCAAGCCTACGGTGTGCGTCGCCAGCCCAGCCCGGCCTGTCCCTGCTCTACGCACCAAGCCTACGGTGTGCGTCGCCAGCCCAGCCCGGCCTGTCCCTGCTCCACGCACCAAGCCTACGGTGTGCGTCGCCAGCCCGGCCCGGCCTGTTCCTGCCACTCGCACCAAGTCTACGGTGTGCGTCGCCAGCCCAGCCCGGCCTGTCCCTGCTCTACGCACCAAGCCTACGGTGTGCGTCGCCAGCCCAGTCCGGCCTGTCCCTGCTCTACGCACCAAGCCTACGGTGTGCGTCGCCAGCCCAGTCCGGCCTGTCCCTGCTCCACGCACCAAGCCTACGGTGTGCGTCGCCAGCCCGGCCCGGCCTGTTCCTGCCACTCGCACCAAGTCTACGGTGTGCGTCGCCAGCCCGGCCCGGCCTGTTCCTGCCACTCGCACCAAGTCTACGGTGTGCGTCGCCAGCCCGGCCTGTCCCTGCTCTACGCACCAAGCCTACGGTGTGCGTCGCCAGCCCAGTCCGGCCTGTCCCTGCTCTACGCACCAAGCCTACGGTGTGCGTCGCCAGCCCAGTCCGGCCTGTCCCTGCTCCACGCACCAAGCCTACGGTGTGCGTCGCCAGCCCGGCCCGGCCTGTTCCTGCCACTCGCACCAAGTCTACGGTGCGCGTCGCCAGCCCGGCCCGGCCTGTTCCTGCCACTCGCACCAAGTCTACGGTGCGCGTCGCCAGCCCGGCCCGGCCTGTTCCTGCCACTCGCACCAAGTCTACGGTGCGCGTCGCCAGCCCGGCCCGGCCTGTTCCTGCCACTCGCACCAAGTCTACGGTGCGCGTCGCCAGCCCGGCCTGTTCCTGCCACTCGCACCAAGTCTACGGTGCGCGTCGCCAGCCCGGCCCGGTCTGTTCCTGCCACTCGCACCAAGTCTACGGTGCGCGTCGCCAGCCCGGTCCGGCCTGTTCCTGCCACTCGCACCAAGTCTACGGTGCGCGTCGCCAGCCCGGCCCGGCCTGTTCCTGCTACTCGCACTAAGCCAGGGGTGCGAGACGTCAGCCTGGTAAGGCCTGTTCCTGCTACTCGCACTAAGCCAGGGGTGCGAGACGTCAGCCTGGTAAGGCCCGTCCCTCCTCCACGCACCAAGCCAGGGGTGCGAGTCGTCAGCCTGGTAAGGCCCGTTCCTCCTCCACGCACTAAGCCAGGGGTGCGAGTCGTCAGCCTGGTAAGGCCCGTTCCTCCTCCACGCACTAAGCCAGGGGTGCGAGTCGTCAGCCTGGTAAGGCCCGTTCCTCCTCCACGCACCAAGCCAGGGGTGCGCGTCGTCAGCCTGGTAAGGCCCGTTCCTCCTCCACGCACCAAGCCAGGGGTGCGCGTCGTCAGTCCAGCACAACCCGTGCCTGGGTCACCGGTGCCTGGTAGGGTACCGGTCAACTGCTCCACTATGGAGCTGAAGCTAACCGCTCCTGCTAAGTCCAGTTCAGCTCCAGCCTGCGGGGCCAGACTGGACCAGGGGCGCTATGGGGGGTTTATTGGAGGGTGGTGGTCAAGGCCGGAGCCAGAACCGCCGCCGAGGAGGTATGCCCGCCCAGCCCTCCCCTGTTTTGTTCAGGTTGAGGCGCGGTCGCAGTCCGCGCCTTTAGGGGGGGGTACTGTCACACCCTGGCTCTGGGACTCTATATGTTGAGCCAGGGTGTGTTCATTCTATGTGTTTATTTCTATGTTGGTAATTCTGTTGTGTTTATCTCTATGTTGGCTAGAGTGACTCCCAATCAGAGGCAACGAGTGTCAGCTGTCGTTGGTTGTCTCTGATTGGGAGCCATATTTATACTGTCTATTTTCCCTTTGTGTTTGTGGGTTCTTGTTCCGTGTCCGGTCATTGTTACCGTGGACTTCACGAGTCGTTTCTTGTTTTGTTGATTGTGTTCTATTATCACTAAAGATAATAAAGTTAAACATGTTCGTTCATCACGCTGCGCCTTGGTCTGTTCATTATGACGATCGTGACACTACTAACTGAAGGGAGGACAGTAGTAGGTGACCCAACTGTGGTTTGTGACTGTTATGATTTCCCATTGTAGCCAATTCAGTTCCAGTAATTCCGTTACCAATTTGTTAACTCAATTACGAGTTTCAATCACTTAATAATTAATAAATCAGTTAAATCACTATAACTCATTGGTTGGTCTACCATTACTTGTTACTTCTGTGACGTGAGGGATAAAAATATTTTAAAGATATGTTGGTTTCTGGTAACGGAATTACAAGGCAATATTTCTTAGACTTACAGAAGGTAAGCAATTTATCCAAAACTAAATATGTGTTGATAGTAGTTGGCTGGGGTCTTTACGTCAACATTATTGTGTTTTAATGTATTTCTGCTACCTTTTTAAATACTTTTTCTGGTAGATGTTTTCTAAGACCCCTTTCCCATCTGTTTATTCAGAAATCAAAGCCTTTACCTATACCTAATTTTTAAGATGGAACATTTTAGAAAAATGTATCTATGCCTTAATTTCCCAAAAATATGGACTCTTAGCTTTCATTTGACACACAATTGCGGCAGGTAGCTTAGTGGTTAAGAGCGTTGTGCCAGTAACCGAAAGGTCGCTGGTTCTAATTGAGCAAGGAACTTAACCCTAATTGCTCCTGTAAATCGCTCTGGATAAGAGCGTCTGCTAAATGACTAAAATGTAAATGTAAATTTGATATGCTCCTATGAACTTCACATGTTGGTGCTCATGGGTCCTTTTCGATGGATATGCTCTGATGCTGCTGAGAATGAGACCTAGGACACGGTTGTGTTTGTTCCTGGTACAACAGGGCATTCTCTGGGTTTGAACACTTGACTCACTGTTGTTCTAGACTTGATTCAGTGTCTCTTTCCCTCTCCTGCCTTGCCGCTTTACTCTTCTCTCTCAGCCTCCTCCCTTCCTCTTCCTCAGCATCTTCCTCACTCTCTTCCCTTCCTCTTCTCTCTACCTTTCCCTCTTCCTCTAGCCACACACCATCTCTCTTTCTTCATTTCCTCTCCCTCTCTTCCCTCAGCCTCTCTATCTCTATTCTCCCTACATCCTTCCCTACCTCCTTCCCTACCTGTCTCTTCTGTCTCCCAGTAGTGTGAGTTTTTTTGCTTCACAGTTTGTCTCTGTCCTGGCTTCCCCTCACCTAACCTATCAAAACCCGACTGGCTTGACAGAGAGAGGGACGCATGGCCTAACCTAAGAGAGATCACTGGCACTGAGAAATGAGCACAGTGGAGCTGTAAAGCTCAGACCACACTCTCATGTCTCTGTCCTGGTCCCTGGTAAAGTCATGGTCCCAGTATATGGGTATATCTCAATAGTCTAACCATTCTTCCTCTCCCCATTTCCATTCCTTCACCCACGCTCATCTGAGAAGTGGACAGGTGAAAGTACAGGTAGGCTTCCTTCTGCCAAATTGCTTCCACTCCCCTTGTGTCCAGATCAGTGCCGATAAACGAATTGAGATGTAGCCTACCCAGAATGTATGTTGTGGAATTTATCTCTAGCGTTAAAGGGAGTTAGAAGCACTGTGGCACTGTGTAATAAGTACATGCTTTAAACCTGTGATGTTGAATGCATGTACAATAGGCCTTTGTTAAACTACCTATTGTAATAAAGTGACCATAAAAGCTCTCTGATAACAGTAAAAGCTCTCTGATAACAGTAAAAGCTCTCTGATAACAGTAAAAGCTCTCTGATAACAGTAAAAGCTCTCTGATAACAGTAAAAGCTCTCTGATAACAGTAAAAGCTCTCTGATAACAGTATCTGTAAGGAAAAGCTGCTAGAAGGAACAAGTTGAATCTGCTGCTCAGATTTTCCAGGTGGTATTACAGGGAGAACAGGTAGGGTGGGATATTTTCCTTGGCTTTTCATGGTGTCACTCTACCCCTTTCAAGTCTGGGGAAACACAGTGGCCTGGTATTCTGCCACACTGTACTCTCTGTTTAGGGCCAAATAGCATTCTAGTTTGCTCAGATTTTTTTTGTTAATTATTTATCTCTCTCTCTCATAGACAAAGATTAATAGTTTTGCGTATAACTTTTTGGAAATAAAGCTTCTCCTCCCGATTGTGCCGTTCTGCTTGTAAAATTATTACCAACTTTACCCACTTTGGGATCTGAGAAAAGGTGGGGGTTAGGTAAAGGTGAGAGCTCAATCTCTGTTACGTCATACTGTGGAATATCACACCCGTCCATCAATCAACGATGGCAATGCCATAATACACATTCTGAACCAATACAGAACACCCTCACTCATTCAGACACACACATACAGTAGACACACACAGACACAGCAAAGGATCTGTTTGCTTGTTCAACGCAATTATCCTCGTGTGTGTTAAGTCTAAATGTTTGTATCATAGATGCCTTTCTGTTTAGCTCCAACTCCAGATGGCTCTGTGAGAACATCCTCACACATTAACACTGTTTAGCTCCAACTCCAGATGGCTCTGTGAGAACATCCTCACACATTAACACTGTTTATCTTCAACTCCAGATGGCTCTGTGAGAACATCCTCACACATTAACACTGTTTAGCTTCAACTCCAGATGGCTCTGTGAGAATATCCTCACACATTAACACTGTTTAGCTTCAACTCCAGATGGCTCTGTGAGAACATCCTCACACATTAACACTGTTTAGCTTCAACTCCAGATGGCTCTGTGAGAACATCCTCACACATTAACACTGTTTATCTTCAACTCCAGATGGCTCTGTGAGAACATCCTCACACATTAACACTGTTTATCTTCAACTCCAGATGGCTCTGTGAGAACATCCTCACACATTAACACTGTTTAGCTCCAACTCCAGATGGCTCTGTGAGAACATCCTCACACATTAACACTGTTTAGCTCCAACTCCAGATGGCTCTGTGAGAACATCCTCACACATTAACACTGTTTATCTCCAACTCCAGATGGCTCTGTGAGAACATCCTCACACATTAACACTGTTTAGCTTCAACTCCAGATGGCTCTGTGAGAACATCCTCACACATGAACACTGTTTAGCTCCAACTCCAGATGGCTCTGTGAGAACATCCTCACACATTAACACTGTTTAGCTCCAACTCCAGATGGCTCTGTGAGAACATCCTCACACATTAACACTGTTTAGCTTCTTACTCCTGAGTGGCGCAGTGGTCTAAGGCACTGCACCGCAGTGCTAACTGTGCCACTAGATCCTGGTTCGAATCCAGGCTCTGTCGCAGCCGGCCGCGACCGGGAGACTCATGGGCGGCGCACAATTGGCCCAGCGTCGTCCAGGGTAGGGGAGGGAATGGCCGGCAGGGATGTAGCTCAGTTGATAGAGCATGGTGTTTGCAACGCCAGGGTTGTGGGTTCGATTCCCACGGGGGGCCAGTATAAAAAAAATATGTATTCACTAACTGTAAGTCGCTCTGGATAAGAGCGTCTGCTAAATGACTAAAATGTAAATGTAAATGTTAGCTTCAACTCCAGATGGCTCTGTGAGAACATCCTCACACATTAACACTGTTTAGCTTCAACTCCAGATGGCTCTGTGAGAACATCCTCACACATTAACACTGTTTAGCTCCAACTCCAGATGGTTCTGTGAGAACATCCTCACACATTAACACTGTTTATCTCCAACTCCAGATGGCTCTGTGAGAACATCCTCACACATTAACACTGTTTAGCTTCAACTCCAGATGGCTCTGTGAGAACATCCTCACACATTAACACTGTTTAGCTTCAACTCCTGATGGCTCTGTGAGAACATCCTCACACATTAACACTGTTTAGCTTCAACTCCAGATGGCTCTGTGAGAACATCCTCACACATTAACACTGTTTAGCTTCAACTCCAGATGGCTCTGTGAGAACATCCTCACACATTAACACTGTTTAGCTTCAACTCCTGATGGCTCTGTGAGAACATCCTCACACATTAACACTGTTTAGCTTCAACTCCAGATGGCTCTGTGAGAACATCCTCACACATGAACACTGTTTAGCTTCAACTCCAGATGGCTCTGTGAGAACATCCTCACACATGAACACTGTTTTTTTTTCTCCCTCTCTTTCCCTCCATCTTTCTCCTCCCTCTCTTTTCTCAGTGGTGTATGAGCATCGCTCGCGGTTAGAGAAGTCTCTGCAGAAGGAACGCTTGGAGCACAAGAAGGCCAAAGAGGGTGAGCGAGACACACAGCAGCCAATAGTGTCTAAATTACTAGAGTCTACAAATTACTACAAAGTACACCAATCCTCAATTATACATTCTTTACAACTGTGGTGATTCCATCATTTCTTTTCCTCCTTTCTCCAACAGATTATCTGGTGTATAAACTTGAAGCCCAACAGTCACTGAACAAGGAGAAGGTAGGCCTGAGTCCCCAACTCTAGTACTCGTGATAGAAAGTTATGCAGTTAAATTCAGCTGTAATGTGCCCATCTGTTTAGTAGGACTATTCAATTATTCTGTCTAACTGCCAAAATCTGTCTAGACTGAGCAGCAGTTGTGTTCTAATGGTTTTATTAGGTCAGCAGCACTGATGTCACTCTTTCTGCTGTGAGCTGAAATGCCTCTTTATGAGGGGAGTGTGGTTGGGGGATGTTATTCATAATATTATAGGAGGAGTGGAGACGGGGATTGTACATGTTGTTGATAATATAATATCAAAGGAGGGGGGGGGGGGGGGGGCATACCATCGTGCTCCACACTCTCATGCTCTGAGTGCATTCTCCAAGGACGTTCTCTTGAATACGTTCTCTTGAGTACATTCTTGTGAAGACGAGAGTGTGGAGAACTCATAAAACATTACATTTGAGAAGCACTCACTCTCCCCCTACTGTGTTACCTCAGGCTGCACCTCCCCATTCACTGAACCTTCTTCCAGCCAGGACAATGGCAACAGAGACGAAACAAGATATACACAAAGCAAACGTTTTACTTCATAACTATCGGCTAGCTATATGTGAATCGTAATAATATAGCTATCCAGATATTTTAACAAGCAAACATGAACTAAAACGAATGTTATGCAAGGTAGATGTCAATTATTTGTGGGTAGCTAGCGAACAATTCTTTGTGCCTATCTGGCTAGCTGACAGTAGTAGCTAGCCAGTTAGCCCTATTGACTTACTATGGGCTTACGACCTACGCACACTACAGTGGGTATTGTAGGCAGGTAAACATGCCAAAATTAACACTGCATGTATTTATTAACGTATCAAGATAAAATATTGTAGTCCGGCAACATATGACATGTGAATATTAAAGTAGGAGTAGAGACAGGGATTGTAAATGTTGTTGATAATATAATTTTAAAGGAGGAGTGGAGACAGGGATTGTAAATGTTTGTTTGTTAAACAGCAGGACTCCAGCAGCAGATTCAACTCCTTACATGGGCAGCACCAGATGCTGAAGGTCTGTAAGAACACACACACACACACACACACACACACACACACACACACACACACACACACACTGACCCACCCTCTGTCCTTGTTGTTTTAGAAGCAGCATGAGGACCTGAAGAAGCAGCACTATGACCTGCAGGAGCAGCATCAGATTCAGGGAGAGGACCAAGGCAAGGCCTTGGACGAACACAAGGACCGCTTCGACAAACTACAGCAGACCAAAGAGATGGAAGTCTCCAAACTCAAAGGTACACACACACATACACACACACACATACCCACACAGAGACACACAGACACACACAGGAGGACATAAGTAAATACTAGCAGATCTTTGTCTCCCTCTCCTGGGTTGGAGCAGTGTTGCAGTTTGGAGTTGAGGAATGATACAATGGCATAATAACATTGTAATAAATATAATATATGGTGTTTATGTTATTACTGCAGAGAATGTGTATAATCTGCGAGAGGAGAATAAGCAGCTGAGGAGAGCCCACCAGGACATCCATGTCCAGTTGCAGGATGCACGGGTGAGTACTGGGAATTAGTGCTGAGCGATTAACCAACATTTCATTGTTGTTGTTGTTTTTTTTTGGGGGGGGGGGGGGGGTTTATTAAACCACAAATTGACCGACGTTGGTTCAATTACTTAGTTCGTTTTATTTATTTTGCCAAATGCGCCGTTTCTCTAGAGAGAAATCAAATCATTAACGAGAGAATTATGGGACGCTGGGCTGAAGGGAGTTGTAGTTTTCATTAAACAAATATTCCACCTAGTTCAGCGCAATAAGGTCGTAATTAACTACAATTACCATAATCCTTTGCGGCAGTTTTTTCCTGCTCAGACACGGGTCAAAGAGGAAGAGGCGAAGAGAGAGGTTTCACTCTCGACAGTCTGTCCAAAATAATCCCAATGCGTTTTTTTTTATTTTGGACCTAAACTTGTTGGCTGCCTTCCCGCCTTTTGGACAACGACTACCCATTGTTAGGGCGGAGACATCAGCATCTCGTCATTATATGCAGATCTCTGGACGGATACACTTTTATGCCTGCTACGTTAGATACACACAGACCATACACAACACAACGACGAGGGACAGACAGTTGCCTTATCAATTTTGAAGAATTAAGTAAAATGATTTCGTCAGACAGCTCTGCAGCATACTTAGGCAGGCTAGCTTAATAGGATGACTAAAGACAGTACAGTATGAGGAGAACAGAGATGTTTAGCTGCTACTGCTTGAGTAAAGATTAGATGATTAGTTTAAGGAATGAAAACTAAGTAATATACACAACTGAAATATATATATATATATATATATATATATATATATATATATATATATATAATTTTTTTTTTCCATAGTCATTTCCTATGTTTCTATTGATGTCTGCCCAATGTGGACCTGACAGAGACAATGGAATATTTTCAATGTTTTGGTAAATTAATGTTCACTATTTTTGGCTTTGGAATTTCCATTAAAAAGCTCTAAAATTATTGTCATGTCATTATTTCATAATGCATTTAATGTAAAAAAAAAAGGAAGTAATCGAAAAACATGATTCTTTTTTAATAATCTAACCTAAACCGAACCGACCTCAAAAAAGCACTTGTTGCTCAGCACTGCTGGGAATAGTAGAGCTTGGTCAGAGTACAACCTGGAATTGTTTATGTAAAAAACGTAGATATGAAATATGGAAGAAGCTCTCTTAAGGTCATTGGAAAGCTAGGAGGATCCATCACCATGTTATTTTTATCTTACTATATTATTATTATTATTACAGATAGTACATAAGGACTTGAAGGCTGCCCATGATCAGCTTGCACTGACGCTAGAGGACCACAAGAGTGCGCTGGCCGCAGCTCAGGTAGGGTGATACTGCACTGTGTGGGGGTATGTTCTTTCTAACATGATATCTAGTGACGATCCTGGTTTCTAAAATAATAACAATATGGCATTTAGCAGACGCTTTTATCCAAAGCGACTTACAGTCATGTGCGCATACATTTTTACGTATGGGTGGTCCCGGGGATCGAACCCACTACCCTGGCGTTACAAGCGCCATGCTCTACCAATTGAGCTACAGAGGACCAACCAAAATGATATCTACTGACTATCCTGGTTTCTAACATGGCCTTCTAGGGACTATCCTGGTTTCTAACATGATATCTAGGGACTATCCTGGTTTCTAACATGATATCTAGGGACTATCCTGGTTTCTAACATGATATCTAGTGACTATCCTGTTTCTAACATGATATCTAGTGACTAACCTGGTTTCTATCATGATATCTAGTGACTATCCTGGTTTCTAACATGATATCTAGTGACTATTCTGGTTTCTAACATGATATCTAGTGACAATCCTGGTTTCTAACATGATATCTAGTGACTGTCCTGGTTTCTAACATGATATCTAGTGACTATCCTGGTTTCTAACATGATATCTAGTGACTATCCTGGTTTCTAACATGATATCTAGTGGCTATCCTGGTTTCTAACATGATATCTAGTGACTATCCTGGTTTCTAACATGATATATAGTGACTATTCTGGTTTCTAACATGATATCTAGTGACAATCTTGGTTTCTAACATGATATCTAGTGACTGTCCTGGTTTCTAACATGATATCTAGTGACTATCCTGGTTTCTAACATTATATCTAGTGGCTATCCTGGTTTCTAACATGATACAGTGGGGGACTAAAGTATTTAGTCAGCCACCAATTGTGCAAGTTCTCCCACTTAAAAAGATGAGAGAGGCCTGTAATTTTCATCAAAGGTACACGTCAACTATGAAAGACAAATTGAGAAAAAAAAATCCAGAAAATCCCATTGTAGGATTTTTAATGAATTTATTTGCAAATTATGGTGGAAAATAAGTATTTGGTCACCTACAAACAAGCAATATTTCTGGCTCTCACAGACCTGTAACTTCTTCTTTAAGAGGCTCCTCTGTCCTCCACTCGTTACCTGTATTAATGGCACCTGTTTGAACTTGTTATCAGTATAAAAGACACCTGTCCACAACCTCAAACAGTCACACTCCAAACTTCACAATGGCCAAGACCAAAGAGCTGTCAAAGGACACCAAAAACAAAATTGTAGACCTGCACCAGGCTGGGAAGACTGAATCTGCAATAGGTAAGCAGCTTGGTTTGAAGAAATCAACTGTGGGAGCAATTATTAGGAAATGGAAGACATACAAGACCACTGATAATCTCCCTCGATCTGGGGCTCCACGCAAGATCTCACCCCGTGGGGTCAAAATGATCACAAGAACGGTGAGCAAAAATCCCAGAACCACACGGGGGGACCTAGTGAATGACCTGCAGAGAGCTGGGACCAAAGTAACAAAGCCAACCATCAGTAACACACTACGCCGCCAGGGACTCAAATCCTGCAGTGCGAGACGTGTCCCCCTGCTTAAGCCAGTACATGTCCAGGCCCGTCTGAAGTGCATTTGGATGATCCAGAAGAGGATTGGGAGAATGTCATATGGTCAGATGAAACCAAAATATAACTTTTTGGTAAAAACTCAACTCGTCATGTTTGGAGGACAAAAATGCTGAGTTGCATCCAAAGAACACCATACCTACTGTGAAGCATGGGGTTGGAAACATCATGCTTTGGGGCTGTTTTTCTGCAAAGGGACCAGGACGACTGATCCGTGTAAAGGAAAGAATGAATGGGGCCATGTATCGTGAGATTTTGAGTGAAACCCTCCTTCCATCAGCAAGGGCATTGAAGATGAAACGTGGCTGGGTCTTTCAGCATGACAATGATCCCAAACACACCGCCCGGGCAATGAAGGAGTGGCTTCGTAAGAAGCATTTCAAGGTCCTGGAGTGGCCTAGCCAGTCTCCAGATCTCAACCCCATAGAACATCTTTGGAGGGAGTTGAAAGTCTGTGTTGCCCAGCGACAGCCCCAAAACATCACTGCTCTAGGGGAGATCTGCATGGAGGAATGGGCCAAAATACCAGCAACAGTGTGTGAAAACCTTGTGAAGACTTACAGAAAACGTTTGACCTGTGTCATTGCCAACAAAGGGTATATAACAAAGTATTGAGAAACTTTTGTTATTGACCAAATACTTATTTTCCACCATCATATGCCAATAAATTCATTAAAAATCCTACAATGTGATTTTCTGGATTTTTTTTTCTCATTTGTCTGTCATAGTTGACGTGTACCTATGATGAAAATTACAGGCCTCTCTCATCTTTTTAAGTGGGAGAACTTGCACAATTGGTGGCTGACTAAATACTTTTTTTCCCCACTGTATATAGTGGCTATCCTGGTTTCTAACATGATATCTAGTGACTATCCTGGTTTCTAACATGATATCTAGGGACTATCCTGATTTCTAACATGATATCTAGGGACTATCCTGATTTCTAACATGATATCTAGGGACTATCCTGATTTCTAACACGATATCTAGTGACTATCCTGGTTTCTAACATGATATATAGTGACTATCCTGGTGAAGGACAGGAAGGCATGACTTGGAGGGGCAGTGTCGGTCTGTGTGTGTGTGTGTGTGTGTCTGTCTGGGGTTTTGGGCAACGGGAGGACGGGAGGACGGGCGTCAGGTGGTTTGGTTCACTAAGGGGTGTCTGAGCTTTAGCGGCACATCAAAAGCATGCTTAAGCTAATCGAGCAGGAAAATATAATGGGTTGATTGGAGAGAGCGAGAGAAAGAAAGAGTGAGAGGGAAAGAATTTGCAAAGAATGTAAGAATTCTACAGCTTTGTCTGTCAGAAAAGCAATGTTTGATAAATGGGGTATTGCAGCTTAATTGGTCCAGTCCATTTGCTGGACAAGGGGGAGAAAGGACTGTACCATTTAATTCTGGAAAGGGGGGGGTTGATGTGGGCTGGGCTAATGGTCCTTCACTCAGATGTCTTGCCATCTGTAGGTGGGCTGTCCCTCTGCATGTCTGCTGCCTGCTTGTCCCCCGCCTGCTTGTCCCCCTCGCAAGATGACCTCTCGTTTCTCACCTTTGACCCCTGATCTTCTGGCTTCTTTGACGCTGTCTTCCTGGTTCTGAGGAGGCTGCCTCCTAACACTCTTCTAACCTTCAGCTAACCTTTGCTCATGCAAGTTTGCAAGTGCCCTTCAATAAATCTGACTTATTAATGTTGTTTGCATGACCTGGCCTCACTGATTCCTTATGGTTATTTAATAGTTGTCTGAAGGTTGTCTGAAGGTTGTCTGATGGTCTCTCCTCAGGTCCAGGTAGATGAGTTTAAACAACTCAAAGAGACCCTGATCAGAATGCCAAGCCTTCGACATGATCAAAACCCCGCCCACCAACAGGCCCAGCCTGCTGCTGTATTGGCCGAGCCCCATGAACAGGGCCCGCCCCTACCACAGCCAGCTGCCTTATTGGCTGAGCCCCACGTAGAAGCACACACCCATGACGAAGAACAAGGGAACACACAGTCCAGGGTAGAGGAGGCATTTTAATCTGTCATGTTATTTTGTGACTGTCACACACACATTGTCTCACACACACACACACACACACACTAACACACACTCTCATCCTCTCTAACCCACTCTGTTCTTCTAATAACCAGTTGCATCTGCAGGAAGAGGTGGGCAAGCCAGAGTTCCAGTCTCAGCCTGCCGGGTCCCACCATGCTGAGAAAGAGAAAGAGGGATATGGAGAGGGGGAGGCAGAGAGGAGAAGAGAGCTGGCGGAGGAAGAGATGGAGCAGGCGGGGCAGCCTCAGAAGCTGGAGGAGGAATCTGAACAACCACAGGAGGACGAGGGGTTGGAGGCGGAACACGACCAGCCAGACAACAACGCTCTCAACCGTCAGAGACGCCAACCACAACTGGTAAGAACCAGTTAGAACGGCTTAATACAAGCTCTTTAGAACAGCATTAGAACGGCTTAATACAAGCTCTTTAGAACAGCATTAGAACTGCTTAATACAAGCTCTTTAGAACAGCATTAGAACGGCTTAATACAAGCTCTTTAGAACAGCATTAGAACGGCTTAATACAAGCTCTTTAGAACAGCTTAATACAAGCTCTTTAGAACAGCATTAGAACGGCTTAATACAAGCTCTTTAGAACAGCATTAGAACTGCTTAATACAAGCTCTTTAGAACAGCAATTAGAACGGCTTAATACAAGCTCTTTAGAACAGCAATTAGAACTGCTTAATACAAGCTCTTTAGAACAGCAATTAGAACGGCTTAATACAAGCTCTTTAGAACAGCAATTAGAACTGCTTAATACAAGCTCTTTAGAACAGCATTAGAACTGCTTAATACAAGCTCTTTAGAACAGCATTAGAACGGCTTAATACAAGCTCTTTAGAACAGCATTAGAACTGCTTAATACAAGCTCTTTAGAACAGCATTAGAACGGCTTAATACAAGCTCTTTAGAACAGCATTAGAACGGCTTAATACAAGCTCTTTAGAACAGCATTAGAACGGCTTAATACAAGCTCTTTAGAACAGCATTAGAACGGCTTAATACAAGCTCTTTAGAACAGCATTAGAACTGCTTAATACAAGCTCTTTAGAACAGCATTAGAACCTGTTGTCTTATTGTCTCTCTGGTTTCCCCAGGATCCACAAAGTGACATCCACCTCGTCCCTGAGACCCACCTCCAGCAGGAGGCCCACGTGGCCCAGGCGGAGCGGGTGAAGTCTGCCTACGAGCAGCAGCAGGAGCAGCAGCGCCTGGAGGCTGAGCGGGCCCAGAGGACGAGGGAGCTCCAGCTGCGCCAGGAGGCCCTGCAGGCCCAGAGAATGAGCGTGCAGAGGGAGCGAGAGCTGCGTCTGAGAGCTCAGCACCAGAGAGCGGAGCAGCAGCATCGAGAGGCGGACCGTCGGGAACAGCTACTGAAGGAGGAGCAGCTTAGGTCAGAGGGCAAGGGGCAGGGGTCAAAGGTTATGTAGAGGTCACGGAGAGGTCTTAGTTAAATTCAATACAATTCATAAATTACCCATATGGAATGGTGTTACAATATGTTGTGTTTTAATGTTATGTTCTTCAGGAAGAAGAGTGACTATGGGAACATGAACAATGACATCGTCCAGGGTGATGAAGAACCTCATATTGATGATGACGAAGGTGAGAGAATCAATCAATCAAGTCACCAAAAAAGTTCTGTCTGGATTCTGGAACCATTTTAAAGAGGGAGACTGATATTGACATTTGGACAATATTTGTTCTTTTCTGTGCATTTTTGACTGAATAAGACCTTGACTAATGTGATTGTATATACATGCTTACCTGGCTGTTATCTGACTCACTGTTGGTTTGCTGTGTGTACAGAGAGGGACACCCACTTGGAGGAGGACGAGCAAGAGGAAGAGGACCACCGAGTACCACAACTACAGGAGGTCAGACAGATATTTAAGTATACCAAACAGTCTCTATCAACCTCTGTCAAATGGTCTGATGTGAATCTGTGACCCCAGTTTGAACTGTAGTTTTCACTCTTTTATTTCTCTCCCATCAGATATTAGATTAATATTTTTTGGTTATTTTACATGTTTTATTATATTTATGAATCATATTCAAACATGATATTATCATGTTCAAACATGTTCTACGCCTTTAAAGTAATGTAAAATGATTGAATTGACATTGGTTGACTCTGACACAGTACATGTCTTTCTAAGAAGTCCTAAAGCCACAGTTAGTGATGTAGTGAATTATGGAGGATCTGTTGGCACTGGAGGGCTTTAAACTCCTCTCTCTTTCCCTGCCTGACACAAACATCAGCCCCAACCCCTCCTCTCTCTTTCCCTGCCTGACAAAAACATCAGCCCCAACCCCTCCTCTCTCTTTCCCTGCCTGACACAACCATCAGCCCCAACCCCTCCTCTCTCTTTCCCTGCCTGACAAAAACATCAGCCCCAACCCCTCCTCTCTCTTTCCCTGCCTGGACACAACCATCAGCCCCAACCCCTCTCTCTCTTTCCCTGCCTGACACAAACATCAGCCCCAACCCCTCCTCTCTCTTTCCCTGCCTGACACAAACATCAGCCCCAACCCCTCCTCTCTCTTTCCCTGCCTGACACAACATCAGCCCCAACCCCTCCTCTCTCTTTCCCTGCCTGACACAAACATCAGCCCCAACCCCTCCTCTCTCTTTCCCTGCCTGACACAAACATCAGCCCCAACCCCTCCTCTGTCTTTCCCTGCCTGACACAAACATCAGTCTCAACCCCTCCTCTGTCTTTCCCTGCCTGACACAAACATCAGCCCCAACCCCTCCTCTCTCTTTCCCTGCCTGACACAAACATCAGCCCCAACCCCTCCTCTGTCTTTCCCTGCCTGACACAAACATCAGTCTCAACCCCTCCTCTCTCTTTCCCTGCCTGACACAACCATCAGCCCCAACCCTTGCCACAGTCCCTTGGGTGTTGGTCTAGTGTTCTTTCCCTGTCAGTGTGTGTGCTTGCATAGATAGTAGATCAGAGAAACCCACCCCAATCTGAACTGTGATATGCACAGTTTCTCACACACACACACACACACACACACCACACTGACAAACTCTCGCTCTCCGTCCCTCCCGTCCTGCAGGGGGCAGTAGAGGGGGAGGTGGACCCAGAGGATGACCCTAATAACCAGGGGGAGGATGAGTTTGATGTGGCAGAGGAGCAGCATCCTCAGCACAGGGAGGAAGAGGAAGAGGAAGAGGAGGCAGCGCCGGCCAAACACACAGACACACACCCCAACCCCAATCACCCAGCCATAGATGAGGAACTGGTGGTGAGAGAAGGAGGGAGGGAATGAGGGATGGAGGAGAGAAGAGAGCGATAGGAACAAGGCTGAGAGAGAGAAAGGAAGGAAGGAAGGAAGGAAGGAGGCGACAGTTAGAAATAGAGATATACCAGGATGACAAACTTGGTCTGATACAAGCAACAGGTAAAAGTTGTTCCGGTGACTTTGCCATGGTAACAGTTGTCATGGTTTGCAGATGGCGGTAAACCCCGACCAGCAGGAAGACAACCTGGATGAGCAGTATCCGGAGGAGGACGAGGTACACACACACACACACACACACACACACACACATAGGTTCAAACAGGAGGCGGGAGAAGACATGGTCTGATGGTGGTTAATCCTGTTAGGTGCAGGAGGATTTGGCCATGGGGCAGAAGAGGGAGGAGGAGCCATACAACGAGGATAACGGAGAACACGTGAGTCTAGAACCCTATGGAATATTGTACGTGGAACCCTGAGTGGGAAAACGACCGTGGGTTTGGTCCAGAGAAGGGACCAGTAGATAAACCTAAACTCTCTCAGCATAGACGTGTGTTTGTGTGTCCATGTCTGGTTACCCCCAAGCTCGTGTGTGTGTGCGCGCGCACTCCATTCACCCATCATAACACTAGTGAATACTCTGACACTGCTCCAACATGGTCAGTTTGTCACCGTTCCACCATACTTGCCTCAATGTTCTAGAATGATCCGCCTGTTGGCCTGTATTCCAGGTTCTCACTTTACTGCTCTAGAACGTTCCGTCGATGGCATTTCCTAGAGTCAAATATAGATATTTGGCTGCTCTAGTCTAGAACATTGCTCCACTCCACATCCTGTCTATGGTCTCACCCACCTGGTGACTGTGTTTGTTCTGCTGTAGGATGAAGTGAAAGTCCGGGAGGTCCCAGCAGGAAAAGCGGGAGAACACAGGAAAGAAGGAGAGATCAACGAGGAGGAGAACTACGAAGAGGAAGAGGAAGAGGAGGTGGCGGTTGGACGGGACAAGCGGCCTAATCGAAGGGAGATGTGAGATGGACAGAGACATTGACCAATGAGAGTGCCTTTCCCCATCACTGGGAGCCAATCAGATCTCTCTATTGTTCCTTATTTTCCCTAAAGGAGAAAAACAGTCACCCACTCGGCATTCCCTTCTGTGTGGGCCTGGAACTGATGAACTTCTGGACAGAATTATCCTACTGGAACTGGGAATACAATCTATAAATCTGTCTGTCTATGTCAGTCTGTCTGTCTGTCTGTCTGTCTGTCTGTCTGTCTGTCTGTCTGTCTGTCTGTCTCTGTCTGTCTGTCCATCCAGTGACCTATCAGACAGACATGAGAAGGTAATGTTACTGTATGCTATTTGTTTGTGCCCAGAAAGAGATGGAAGGTTTGTGTCTATTTGAGTGTCAGGCTTTTCGATTTGGTTTTTATCGAGGTTGTATTTACTGGGTTTTTTTTACAGCAAATTCCTCTCAATGTATGTTTAGTAGGACATGCTTTCCAATCTTCTGTTTATTTATTGTAGATGGGATGATCGTTTTGGGTGGAGTTGAAAATGTTTTTCTAATGTTCTCAATGCGCAATGAAAGTAACTGTCATTACTGCAGGAGAAACCTACAGTATAATTGATGCCAATAATAGTAAAAAAAAAACATTCATTTTCATTCTTCTGTTTGCTTGTCTACGTTGCTTGTCCTCTTGTTACTGGCATTGCCAGTGAATCACAAGTCCTTTCATAGCGTAGTTTCTTTGATCATCTTTTGGTCTGTACCCCTGACTGTTGACATGGATCTAAATCACAAATATCCACTTGACCTTTCACCCGATCCGTAAACACTAATTGTACAATGTACAGAAATGGAAATACATCCACCTGCCTCAAAACATTGTTATTTGTTGACAAAAAAAAACAGGGAGAATGTGGTTGTATAAAGACATCTCCTAGAGGATGGTATGTGAGGAATAAACATGGTGAAGGCTTTAGGTTTACTTTTCTCCTGCAGTGGAGTTACCAGAAAAGTGAAATTATACGGTCCATCTCACCCTTCCCTTAGGAAATCAAACCGCTCTGGAGAGAACTACATGAACATTAAATAAAGAGAGAGCGAGGGAGAGGGAAATACTTCAAACACACATTTCACCTATCTCCCACCTTTACCCCAAGGCCCGAGCTAATCTCATCATCCATGTCTCCTCTTCCTCTGTGGTGTCACACTCAGGGGGGTTCTGGGATGTTGGAGGAGTGGGAATATTTCAGAGGTGACTCATTACTGTGCTAATAGCACGCTGGAGACACGCACACACAAACACACACAAACCCTACAGTCATGAAGGAGTGTTCAGTGATGCTAAGCTCTCTCTACAAGGTCTCTGTCATCTATAGTCATGGAGGCTGTTTTTGGTCTCTCATATTGGATGTCTTAAATGATTTCATGGTTGAATAACTAGGCATGAATAATTTAAATTTCTCTCCTATTGCCAGAGGCCAAATCCTAACTTGAGAGGCGAATACATAACCAATCCCTCTCTCCCCAAATGTTATTTTGACATAGATGCATGATTTATATGAAGGTTTGAGTTAAGCATACATCTCAATTTAGTACTCAGCCCCAAGGGAAAGTCCCAACTATTTAGTATTACTAATAGTATTGCAAGTACCATCATGCAGCCTTGGTGTTGTCCGGAGAGATGAAGGTAATAGACACTCAGTGCTCTAGAGTTGTCATCCAGAGAGACCAAGGTAATGGACACTCAGTGCTCTAGAGCTGTTGTTGTCCAGAGAGACCAAGGTAATGGACACTCAGTGCTCTAGAGTTGTTGTTGTCCAGAGAGACCAAGGTAATGGACACTCAGTGCTCTAGAGCTGTTGTTGTCCAGAGAGACCAAGGTAATGGACACTCAGTGCTCTAGAGTTGTTGTTGTCCAGAGAGACCAAGGTAATGGACATTCAGTGCTCTAGAGTTGTTGTTGTCCAGAGAGACCAAGGTAATGGACACTCGTTGCTCTAGAGTTGTTGTTGTCCAGATAGACCAAGGTAATGGACACTCAGTGCTCTAGAGTTGTCATCCAGAGAGACCAAGGTAATGGACACGCAGTGCTCTAGAGTTGTCATCCAGAGAGACCAAGGTAATGGACACTCAGTGCTCTAGTGTTGTTGTTATCCAGAGAGACCAAGGTAATGGACACTCAGTGCTCTAGAGTTGTTGTTGTCCAGAGAGACCAAGGTAATGGACATTCATTGCTCTAGAGTTGTAATCCAGAGAGACCAAGGTAATGGACACTCAGTGCTCTAGAGTTGTTGTCCAGAGAGACCAAGGTAATAGACACTCAGTGCTCTAGAGTTGTTGTTGTCCAGAGAGACTAAGGTAATGGACACTCAGTGCTCTAGAGTTGTTGTTGTCCAGAGAGACCAAGGTAATGGACACTCAGTGCTCTAGAGTTGTTGTTGTCCAGAGAGACCAAGGTAATGGACATTCAGTGCTCTAAAGTTGTTGTCATCCAGAGAGACCAAGGTAATGGACACTCAGTGCTCTAGAGTTGTCATCCAGAGAGACCAAGGTAATAGACACTCAGTGCTCTAGAGTTGTCATCCAGAGAGACCAAGGTAATGGACACTCAGTGCTCTAGAGTTGTCATCCAGAGAGACCAAGGTAATGGACACTCAGTGCTCTAGTGTTGTTGTTATCCAGAGAGACCAAGGTAATAGACACTCAGTGCTCTAGAGTTGTTGTTGTCCAGAGAGACCAAGGTAATGGACACTCAGTGCTCTAGAGTTGTTGTTGTCCAGAGAGACCAAGGTAATGGACATTCAGTGCTCTAGAGTTGTTGTTGTCCAGAGAGACCAAGGTAATGGACACTCGTTGCTCTAGAGTTGTTGTTGTCCAGAGAGACCAAGGTAATGGACACTCAGTGCTCTAGAGTTGTCATCCAGAGAGACCAAGGTAATGGACACTCAGTGCTCTAGTGTTGTTGTTGTCCAGAGAGACCAAGGTAATGGACACTCAGTGCTCTAGAGTTGTCATCCAGAGAGACCAAGTTAATGGACACTCAGTGCTTTAGTGTTGTTGTTATCCAGAGAGACCAAGGTAATAGACACTCAGTGCTCTAGAGTTGTCATCCAGAGAGACCAAGGTAATGGACACTCAGTGCTCTAGAGTTGTCATCCAGAGAGACCAAGGTAATGGACACTCAGTGCTCTAGAGTTGTTGTTGTCCAGAGAGACCAAGGTAATGGACACTCAGTGCTCTAGTGTTGTTGTTGTCCAGAGAGACCAAGGTAATGGACACTCAGTGCTCTAGAGTTGTTGTTATCCAGAGAGACCAAGGTAATAGACACTCAGTGCTCTAGAGCTGTCATCCAGAGAGACCAAGGTAATGGACACTCAGTGCTCTAGAGTTGTTGTTGTCCAGAGAGACCAAGGTAATGGACACTCAGTGCTCTAGTGTTGTTGTTGTCCAGAGAGACCAAGGTAATGGACACTCAGTGCTCTAGAGTTGTTGTTATCCAGAGAGACCAAGGTAATAGACACTCAGTGCTCTAGAGCTGTCATCCAGAGAGACCAAGGTAATGGACATTCAGTGCTCTAGAGTTGTTGTTGTCCAGAGAGACCAAGGTAATGGACACTCGTTGCTCTAGAGTTGTTGTTGTCCAAAGAGACCAAGGTAATGGACACTCAGTGCTCTAGAGTTGTCATCCAGAGAGACCAAGGTAATGGACACTCAGTGCTCTAGAGTTGTTGTTGTCCAGAGAGACCAAGGTAATGGACACTCAGTGCTCTAAAGTTGTTGTCATCCAGAGATCAAGGTAATGGACACTCAGTGCTCTAGAGTTGTTGTTATCCAGAGAGACCAAGGTAATGGACACTATAGGCCTATTGGTCCCAATTTACTGCATCTCAGGGAAACAACACACACTCGCCTACCTAATGAGGTGTGTGTGTGTGTGTGCAAGAGAGAGAGAGCAGGGAGGGGGGGTATGGTAGTCAGGTAGAGACTAAATATACTGTAGGTTTCTGATTGTCTATGGTCTCACCCACCTGGTGACTGTGTTTGTTCTGCTGCAGGATGAAGTGAAAGTCCAGGAGGTCCCAGCAGGAAAAGAGGGAGAACACAGGAAAGAAGGAGAGATCAACGAGGAGGAGAACTACGAAGAAGAGGAAGGGGGAGTGGGTTGGATCGGGCAGGCGGACCAATCAAGAGCGTGCTTGATAGCAGGAGTCTGTTTGCGTCCAGAACCACAGTCTCCTCCCATTGAGGTTTCAGGGGGAAGTTAAATCAACACCATTATTAAAAAAGAATACTGACGTGGATATGAATTAATGAACTACTGTTGACAGACAGGATGGGACATTCTGAATGTGACCCGTTATCGTGTGTCCTGTCACACGAGGCACAGGGGTTATTAAACACTCATTCATAACTGGGCACAGGAGTGTTGTCTGAAAGAGAAAAAGATAAGCTGAGAAGGAGGGAGGGAGTGAGATGGAGGGTCAGAGGGATGTCTGTGATGCCTGTGTTGTACATCCAGTTAGGTGTGCTGTGAGGCTCGAGGAGGCTGACCGCTGACCCCACTGTTCTCTGTCAGTAGGACAGTGTCATGTAGCTGCCTGATAAAATCTCTTTCCGTCTCTCTCTCTCTTCCTCCCTCCCTCCCTCAAAGCCAAGTTCCAACATGAGACTCCGTGTCTTCCTAGATCAGCCAAATGCCTAACACAGCCCAGTCACACAACTTGTACCCCAGGACAAGTAAAAACAACTCTTAGCAGTATAATGTATAAAAATATCTGATATACTCAGTCATCAAATATACACAATAGACAGTATTAGTAGGCCTACTAAAAATGTCACTTTTATTATTATTTATGGAATGACTTTCCAAAGCCCCTCAGTTTGATGTCAGAGAATGTTACACATCCTGGTGGCTGCTGGGAGTTGGAGTCCAGGAGGCATGGAATCTTCTGGCAGCTTGGGGATTCCATCCAGAACTCTTAGTTTTGGCAAACAGGAGAACACACTGCAGAGAGGAGAGGGCAAAAAAGGGTTAATACAGGGTAAAAAATTCTAAATTTTCTCTCTCCTGCTATCTCCCCACCTCCTCTCTCTCCCTCTATCTCCCTCACCTCCTCTCTCTCCCGCATCCCGTCAGAACACCTCTCCCCTCTATCCCTGTCATCTCCGAACACCCCCCACCCCCCTCAACTATCCCCTCAACCTCTCCTTCCCCCTATCCCCCTCACCTCCCTCTCTCCCTCTATCCAACCTCACACTCCTCTCTGCTCCCTCTAGTCCCACCTCCCTCCTCCTCTATCCCGTCACTCCTCACCTACCTCTCGATCCCCATCACCTCCTCTCTCTCCCTCTATCCCCATCACCTCCTCTCTCTCCCTCTCTCCCCCTCACCGTGCACGGTAGTCCTGTATGTAGTTGACAGGGTTACGTGTGAGTGTGAGGGAGTAGAGTGGGCTGGTTCCCAGAGCCCCCAGTCCCCCCAGTGTGGAGATGCTGTTCTCAGACAGACACAGGTGCTCCACGGCCGGGAGCTTTGGCAGCTGACGTACACATGTCAGGTGATTACGATGCAGGTTGAGGCTTCTGCACCTAGAGGAAAGAGGACAGAAGTACGGTTGTCACTATATGAAGTGAAGAGATGTTTTGTAGGTAGTGTAGTAATTGGCAGGCATATGTTGATATTGGCAGGCATATAGATGGGCATTGTGGGTAGTGTAGTACCTTGGCAGGCATATAGATGGGCATTGTGGGTAGTGTAGTACCTTGGCAGGCATATAGATGGGCATTGTGGGTAGTGTAGTACCTTGGCAGGCATATATATGGGCATTGTGGGTAGTGTAGTACCTTGGCAGGCATATATATGGGCATTGTGGGTAGTGTAGTACCCTGGCAGGCATATAGATGGGCATTGTGGGTAGTGTAGTACTTTGGCAGGCATGTAGATGGGCATTGTGGGTAGTGTAGTACCTTGGCAGGCATATAGATGGGCATTGTGGGTAGTGTAGTACCTTGGCAGGCATATAGAACTCAGGTCTGTGAGAGAGTTATTGATCAGCTGCAGTCTCTCCACTCGGATCAGCCTCCTCAGGATCCGACTGAAGTTTTCCTGCTGGAACGGATCTCCCAAGTCCTGATAGGACAGGTTCAGCTCCTGGGAATACCAGGAATACAGGGACCACAGGGAGAGGGTTACTCAGGTGTGTGTCAACACGCATACACACACAACATACACATGCACACGCAGGCACTCACACACACACACACACACATACGCTTGTTATACACATAGTACAGTATGTCTCTGAGTTGTAACTCACCACACAGTTCTCCCAGTTCTCTTGAAGCCTCTCCTCCCACCTCTGCCCTTCCTCCTCCCTCCTCTTCCTCCTCCCCCTTTCCAAAGGGATGTCATCCTTTCTCAGAAAGAGGTCTTCCTCTGACGGCCCTGGTTGATGATATAATGATGACAGCAGTTACTTATGAGAACTGAGATGAGAGCAAAATAAAATAATTAAAAGGTCAAAGGTTGCCAAGGTGGTGACCTCTCTGACCTTCTCTGACCCTGGGACAGGAGAGCTGGTCTCCTCTGACATCACTCTCCTCAAGCCGCTGCCATGACACAAACCTGAACCGGCTGGACGGCAGCTGAGAAACGAGAGGAGAGAGAGGAGAAGGAGGAGGAGGAGGAAAAGAAGGAGAGATGAATAAGAGGAGAAGGAGGAGGAGGAGGAAGAGGAGAGATGAATAAGAGGAGAAGGAGGAGGAGGAAGGAGAGAATAAGACGGATGAATGGAGGAGAGGAGAGGAGGAGGAGGAGGAAGACAAGGAGAGATGAATAAGAGGAGAAGGAGGAGGAGGAGGAAGAGGAGAGATGAATAAGAGGAGAAGGAGGAGGAGGAGGAAGAGAAGGAGAGATGAATAAGAGGAGAAGGAGGAGGAGGAGGAAGAGACAAGAGAGAGATGAATTAAGGGAGAATGGTGTTGCAGGAGGGAGAATGAATTAAGTAGAAGAGGAGGAGGAGGCATACCAGAGGAGATAATTAGAGGAGAAGTGCACGGTGAAGGAAAAAAAAGATGATAGGCCCGGGAACGAAGGCAGATGGCGGAAGACCCCATAGAGAAGAACGGGAGGAGGAGCGCAGCCATGGATGCCTAAGAGGGAAGGCGGAGAGCGGGACAAGAGAGAGGACTAGTGGCACAGAGGCAAGCGAGGGAGGAGGAAGAGAAGGGACACTAAGGGAGAGGGAGAGGAGGAGGCAGGAGCGATCTGCATCATGGTCGCAGCAGGAGGTAGGAAGAGCAAGCGAGAGCTGAATAGAGGAGAAGGAGGAGGAGGAGGAAGAGAAGGAGAGATGAATAAGAGGAGCAAGAGGTTAAGGATTGTTTTTCAGACTGGGATCTGAATATTACATTTACATTTTAGTCATTTAGCAGACGCTCTTATCCAGAGCGACTTACAGTTAGTGAATGCATACGTAAAAAAAAAAAAATTATACTGGCCCCCGTGGGAAATGAACCAACATCCCTGCCGGCCAAACCCTCCCCTACCTTGGACGACGCTGGACCAATTGTGCGCCGCCCATGGGTCTCCCGGTTGCGGCCGGCTGCGACAGAGCCTGGACTCAAACCAGGATCTCTAGTGGCACAGCTAGCACTGCGATGCAGTGCCTTAGACCAATGCGCCACTCGGGAGTGAGAGCCTTGATTGTGGGGTGCTCTGTGACCCTCATCCCCGTCTCTGCCTCCTCACCTGGGCTTTGACTATAACCCACCCGAGCCACGTGGGGGACTAGACCCATGCTTGGTGACCCCAGGCACCCTCAGCACAGACCTTGAGCGGGCTGACATCAGAGCCAGCCCTGGAGCCTGTGCTCACGTGTCACAAACAAAGTTACTCATCTATAGCATACTAACCAACTAAACAACCACTAGCCACCCTGTGTTGGCAGATAGGAACTGGATAGGTGTGAGCAATACAGTGATGGCTAGGTTTCAAATGGAAGGGATAGGGGGGTTGAGGCTGTTTTCAGAACAGACCGTTTTGGACCAGTCATACTGTTACAGGATGAGAGAGGCAGGTTGTGGGGTCAGGAACTGTGTCAGGGGGTGTCAGAAGATGGGAGGGTGAGAGGTGGGTAGAGCGAGGACGGAGGACTGGAGGGTGAGAATGTGATACATAAGGCATGACACTCACAGGGGTTGTGACGATTCCGGAATCTGGACTCTGGTCCACCGAGAGGGGTGTGTGTGTGACACTGAGGTCAGAATACTGTGAGGAGTGGGATTTGGGAAAACTGCCACTGCTGATGTTCACACCTGAGGAACTGGGAGAGAGGGCCAGAAGGGAGTTTGAGGGTGAAAGATGTATGAAGGAGTGAGAGAGATTGAGTTGGATTAATGTGAGAAATGTGCAAAAGGAAAGGGAGGAGAGGGTAGGAGGAGTGTGAAAACAGAGAGAGCAGGAGAGAAAGAGAGAGGGCAAATAAATTGCAACAGCTTCAGAGCCAAATGGAAAATTTTTAATAAATAAATAATGTAAACCCAAATTAAAACCCAAATTAAAAGAGCCTTGAACATCATCATAAACCTAGGTCTAAACATAACATATTCTTCTCTTCCGGCCCATGTTTTTTATCATAGGCCTAAAGCCTCCGAAAATTCTGCCTCTACTGTTTCTGTAGCCCACTCTTCAAGGAGGCTGGTTGAAATGAAACTCCTCATGTACATCTGCCTTGCTGCCAGCCTGACCCGCTGCTGTCCGGTTTCGGTTACCGTGAACTCTGCCTCGCGCACCGGATTACAGCCGTCGCCATAACAGCCGACACCCGACCAGGTGTCATTAGTTTATAATAGCTGCATAAAAGGAACTTGGATAGTAATGTTTGTATAATTATTATCGTCTATTTTCGTGTAAAGTAGTAATAATTGTGGCAACAAAAAAAAAGATGTTATCCTCTACACATTGTCTATATAACCTACAGGCTAGCTGCATGGGAAAATAACCATGGACATAAATAATGCAGACTAGGCTAATAAAAATCATACATAGCCTAAATGCTACCCAAATAAACGCCTTTTGCTTGTTAAGCGTACATTTGTAAACAGTTTTCCAACTTGAAGCACTGCTCGATGGAAAAGGATGACAACACAAGGCTATTAAATTACCCCTTTTACCTACCTTTCTGACATCTCCCAAAGTTATACCAAATTTCCTTGGCCTTTAGCGCGTAATGAACGGAGCGTAGTCGTACAACCCTGTGGTTTCCCATGGGGGCGAAATGTCCCGTTAGACCCCGGGGTAACGACTGCTCCGGTGTCTGGACGCATACAGAGACTTGCGTCGGTGTATCGCTCGCGTAGCGGCAGAGGACAGGTCACCGGGGGCAGGTGCACAATGCTTGGCAACGCATTGAAGTGCCGTGCAGGTTGTGACACCAAGTTATCTCTGTGTCTCACAGGCAGGGGGGAAATGAACAGGGGTAATTTACATTCCAGTACATAAAGACAAAGACACTAGGCCAGGCCAGCAGAGGTAGAAATGATCAAATACATAAGGGTTAAAAGCGTTCTGACCCTTATTTATTTGACCAGGACATTCTCAGTTAGCTTGCCTACACTAGCCACCCATGGGGAGTAACCTGTGAAGCCCTTAATACAAAATAAATATGATTTTTACAATTACTGCAGGACTTTCTTGCCTGTTTGTAGTGGCAAGTAGTCAATGCCTAGGGGTTATCACTTATGACTATATTTTTGATTGAGTAACATTCCTTCAATAAATAAACTAGAATGTTATTGATTTATTTTAAACACAAAGGTGATCATTCTTGTTTCGTATTATTGCATCCTTTGAATACAGGAATTAGCTTTTTTGTTTGGAGGAAGAAAAAAAACATAAACTACAGTGTAAGAGAGAGAGGGAGATTAATGTTACATTCCCATAAACACGATTGAATTTGAGCGCAAAGGAAATGAGTCTCTGTGCGTGAAGCGAATGAAGTATTTCCCGCGTTCATTCTAGTGCAAGGCCTCCAACAACCTTCGATTCAATTAACTGCGGGGTTATGCGCACATTGATCAATCACCCCCTGACACCTTACGTGCTGCGGGGGTGGTGCACATTCTTGGACCTGAACACCAAAGTAATTCAAAGTAGATCTTTGAGAAGAAAGCTGTTCCGTATCCCACTCACTAATACCCTGTGACTGAACAGACTGTGGCTAGGCCATCTCTGACATTGACCTCTCAATAGTGAATGTCAATAGTCTATAAAGTGGCTTCTATATTGATATGGTTATACTGCCTACACACTTGCAGTTTCTCTGGACCCCTGCAAGGTCGGAAGGGGGAAGGGGGTGTTGGGTAGGTCAGTGTGCCCATAGCTGCAGGAAGTAGCTATGTGCACAAGTCTGAAAAATCAGAATATTTTTTTTCCCTCACAAAAGTAGTGCACTGGGCCTTTAATAGTCCCATATTAGCAGACCTATATATCCGTCTGCAGCGCAGGCAACCCCCCCCCCCAAAAAAACTACTTCCCACAGCTATGAGTGTGCCTACATTGTACTGTAATGATATGGTTATACTGCCTACAGCTTCCTCTCCATCATCTGCAACGAGGGGGAGGAGACAAGGAGAGCTAGCCTCTGAGATGCAGCCTCATTCCCTAGTCTTGTCTGTCCTCTAGCGTGCCCTTGACTACTTCTGTGATAAGATCTCTCTCCTTCTCCATGCCAAATGATGGCCCTATCCTGGCCAAAAATAATATTGCTCAGATTTGGCCTAGGCCTACTCTGCCCTTGCTGCTATGCTATTTCAGTGAGGTATAGTGATGCATGCAGAGGCCTTGTCAAGGTCATTTCCAGTCTTATCTTGACAATATTCTGTTATATGGCCCTTTACCTCAGAGGGTCATCATTAGAAATGTTGTAATTAATATTAATATAGTACAATGTTGTAAGTAGAGTATTTACAGCATTACTACACAGTTATAAGAGGAACTTAATGTAAAGTAGTGTTACCAAATACAATTCAATGCAAATATATAAAAAAAGACACCAGACAATTGTAACTGGAACACATTCATATTTATTTCAGTAAAAGAGTGAATATAGCTGGTGTTATAATTCCTGCCTGTGCAGTATCCTACCCAACCTGCACGCCTCTTCTCAATAGCAACCTGTTTTACGCAAACCCGTTCACCTGTCTGCGAAAGCCTCCACTAAATCAACAACTCAGAAGGCATATTAGTTTGTCAGTATTTTAGCCAGGTACTTCTAGCAAGAAAAAACTCCCAGAGGAACTAAAATAGAATTACTAAGATTCTGTGTGATTAAATACATATATTGCCTGCACACATGTTTTTTGTTTTGTTGTTGCAATAAATATCTAGTCTCATATATAACACAGTAGTAAATGTACAGGAATATAATGGTGGTGATTTGGGAGACACACACCTTAACACTTTAAACAACAGAGCATGTGTGTATGTGTTTGTGTGGCTAGTGAAAATAGCAGGGGCAGTGCATGGATGTATCATTTCTTTCTACTGATCCAATAGATGATAGAACCCATTACTTTTCTTTCTATATATTTACATCTCTCTCTCCCTCTCTCTTACCAAGTGGTTAAAGCTTACAGTATCAAAACACAGTCACATTATATGTATATATCAATATATATATAATATATCATATAGAATGCGAATCATATATATTCTCGATAAGAGTATAAAAACACAGCCAACGATGGGGAGAGGAAAGGTTGCATTTATGGTGTCGTTTTGCCTGGATCTGATTGGTTTTTGAGCATATGACCTCATAGCAGGATAGCAGCACACTGGAATCCCATTGGCCGTCGTCATAGTTACATTGAGTCATTGTCGAAGTCGGTAGGCTCGATGACCTCTGGTGTCATGACCCTGCCCATGAAAAGGATAGAACCTGAGGAGGAGGGGGGGGGGGGGGGGGGGGGGGGGAGAGAAAGCAACTGTCAGGAAAGACACTAGGGTCAGACACATACTGTATATAAGAAGACAGAGACAGACAGACCGACGGACAGACCGACGGACAGACCGACAGTATAACACACACCTGTCCTGCGGTTTCTGATGAGGAAGAAGAACGGGTGATCAGCCATGACCTGAGGGTACAGCACCAGAGTCCTGGTGAGGGCTATCATTCCTACAGGACACAGAGACGGAGAGAGAGAACTTTCAAGACACTGGGAGAATCTCAGTTGCATACTCCTCACGTCCTCTCTCCTCTCTCCTTGCCTCCTTCTCAAAACCCATTAGATGAAAAAGCCAGAGGTCCCGCCCCTCTGTCCTTCTCCTCCAATGGGTTTTGAGAAGGAGGCGAGGAGAGAGGACGCGAGGAGTATGCAATCAAGATTCTCCCAGTGACATTTAAATCCACTGACACTCTGAACAGTCAGCAGCAGGGGGGGCATTTTTTGAAACCCTATGGAAAAAAACCTTTTAAAAGCAAAAGGGATGATCGAAAGATTCCCCAAAAGAAAGAAAAAAACTGGGAATAGGGGGGGGAGAAAAAGGGGATGGGGAGAAAAAGGAGAGGGGAGAGAGAAAAAGGAGGAGAGAGAAAAGGGAGAGGAGAGGAAAGGGGAGACGGGGAAAAAAAGGAGGAGAGAGGAAGAGAGGGAAAGAGAGGGAGAAAGAGGGGGGAGGAAAGAGGGGCGGGGGGAAAAAGGAGGAGAGAGGGAAGAAGAGAAAGGGGGAAGAGAGAAGAAACAAAAAGCAAAAGAGAGAGAGAGCAGGGAATGAAAAAACCCCAAAGAAAAGGGAAAAAAAAAATAGGGAGGAAAGAGAGAGAGAGAAGAGGGGAAGGAGAGAGAGGGAAAGGGGGGGAAAAAGAGAGAGAAAGAGAGAAGGGGAAAGAGAGAAGAGAGAGGAGAAGGGGGAGAGAGAGACAAGGAAAAAGAACAGAGAAACAGGAGAGGAGAGAGGAAGGGGGAGAAAGAGAGGAGAGGAGAGGAGGGGGAGAGAAAAAACAGAAAGAGAGAGAACCGAGAGGAGGGAGACAGAGCAGAGGGAGAAGAGAACAAGGAGACCAGGAGAGACGAGAGGAGACAGAGAACAGAGCGAGAGAGAGGAGACAGAAGAAGAGGACAGGGAGAGCAGACAGAGGAGAGACAGAGAGCAGAGAGGACAGAGGAGAGACAGAGAGACAGAGAGAGAGAGAAGTGAGAGAGAGAGAGGGACAGAGCGAGAAGAGAGAGGACAGAGAGAGACAGAGAGAGGAGGAGGAGGAGGGAGAGAGAGAGAAGAGAGAGAGAGAGAGAGAGAGAGCAGAAAGACGGTAGACAGTAAAGATAGACCCTGCAGACAGAATGTCATTTCAGGAAGTTAACTATGAGGTCAGTAGACAGTAAGGAGAACAGAGAAAGTGTACAGCTTGGAAATAAAGAGGTCCTCTGATGAGGGCTGGTGGAGGTGCTGCTGGGGGTGATGATGCAACTATAAGGTCACCTGATCCTGCAGCTCCCTCTGCACCCTCCTCGGTCACCTCCAGGTAGGCCTTCTGCACCGCCTTCCCAATGAACAGGTCCTTACCATCTGGAACAACACACACGTCTACATCATCCACTAAGCCTATTGACACAAGACTCACATTACCTCTGGAGGGGCTGGGGTGGGTTGGGATAGTGTTAGTAAAACTCTTATGTTGATGTTAGTCTAATGTGTATGTTGTTTTGTTTTTATCTGAATAACAAACAATATAATAAAACGCACGCAGACACACACACACACACACACACACACACACACACGCACACACACACACAGGAATGGTAAAGTAGAAACACAAAGAGGAGACTCATTTCACACTCCAACAGGTGAAGTGTTTCTAACTCTCCTGGCTGAGACTGTTAAAGATCTCTCCCTGTCTATTTTTACCCTCTGAGGCGCGGCGCTGTTCTGTCAATCTGACCTACCCACTCAGCTTGAGATCCCTTGGTAGAGATTTTCAAGGTAGCTCTTTCCGTCTGATCAGAGTCATATAGAGAGAGTTGGGCCAATGCGTTTTCTGTCTGAACGTTCCGAGAGCGCCACTTTCTCCTCCATCGTCGTTGCTAAGTGATAATGTATGCCTCAGCGATATGCTGTTTATTTCTGATAGTTTTTTAAACCTATAAAGATGTCCACTGAAAGCAGATATGCAATTTGTTGACACCACAACACAGTAAAGACTTGGATACACATTATCCCCAATGCTAATCAATAAAAAGGTCTGGTAAATTCGCGGCTCTGTTTACACACAGGGAACTGCTCTCGCATTGTGACATCACCAACATTTAGAGAATAAAGGCGGCAACATGGCGCTGTTCTAAAACCTGGCTGAAGTCTCTTAATATATGCCTCTGTGTCAGATGGATGCCTGAAATGCTGTCAAAAAAAGCTCCCTGGTTATAACTGTAATGGTTAGCTATCTGTTGGTTTGGAATAGTTTGTACTGGTTCTCTGTTGATAGGAAGGGATGCCAAAGCTCATCCCTGAAAGTACCGGGACCAAGGTCACCAGGATGACACACTGATGATTCACATGAACACATAAACACAAAGTATTAACCTGAAATCTTTCTACAGGAGGATGGTCAGTTTCTCTGATGCTGTTTGATGTTCCCCCACCTCATATTGTATAATTAGATTAGATGTATTAAACCCACTGCTGCTTTTTCCTCAGACCTCAGTTTTCCCCACAACTACTCCAACTAAAGACCAATAATAACAGTTATCTCATCTGTCATGGCAGAGGTGTGTGTGTGTGTGTGTGTGTGTGGCGTGGGCGGGGCTTTTACCTGCCATCTCACCTGTCATGGCGGAGAGGTCAGCATCTTTAGTGAAGATCTTCTTGATGCCCAGATCTTGCAGAGTCTCCTTTAGGTCTACCTTCTGCTCAACCTTAAACCTGACAACACACACACACACACACACACACACACACACACACACACACACCACACACAAACACACACACACACACACACACACACACACACACACACACACACACACACACACCACACACACACACAACACACACAACACACACACACACACACACACACACACACACACACACACACACACACACACACACACACACACACACACACACACACACAATGGAACAAGTGTGTGTGTGAGTGTGTGAGTGTGTGTGTGAGCCAGCGTGTGTCTCACATCAAACCTGACAACACATAAACAGAGATAAACGTGTGTGTGTCTTGTGTCGTTCACCTGGGCAGGTAGACCTCCACCTTCTGTCTCTTGACGTTGTTGGCCCACTCCTCCAGGAGAGGGGCTCTGATGATGGGCTCCAGGGCTGCCAGGGGGACCTCCTGTCTGGGCAACACTACCAGCATGCTCATGTCCTCTCCTTCATAGGGCATCTCCAACACCTGGTACACACCACCCGCCTCGGAAGAACCATCACTGAACTCACCTGAGACACACAGACAGACAGACAGACAGGCAATTTATTTTATGTTTAATATAAGGACTTAATCAGAGGAGAGTCTGTGGTTGTGAGAGAGAGAAGAGACAGACTATGGAAGATAAGAATAGCACTTTCTGGAACATTTTATTTTTGGTGCAAAAGGGTTTGTGTGTGTGTGTGTGTGTGTGTGTGTGCGTGTCAGCGTGCGTGCGTTTGTGCTAGATCAGCTCTTTTAGTAAAGCTCTGAATGTAGGCCGTCTGGTTGGAGGGAGTAGCAGCACGGCATGGGGTCGGTCTTCAGACTTTGTGTTTGAGAGAGTGTGTGTGAGAGTGTGTGTGTGTTTGTGAGGGTGTGTGTGTGTTTGAGAGAGTGTGTGTGTGTGTTTTTGAGAGAGTGTGTGTGTTTGTGAGAGTGTGTGTGTGTTTGAGAGTGTGTGATTTATATACAGGCATCTTCTTGGAGGACCTGTTTCTATTCCGACTGGTACATGAGAGTTCACATATGCTGTCACACACACACACACACACACACACACACACACACACACACACACACACACACACACCTACCGTAGTAGAAGTCTCCCTGCTGGTACATCATGAGTGTCTGGGCCTCGCTCCCATCGTCTTTGCTGAAGGAGAAGGTTCTGGTGTTTTCCGGTCTGAACTGGTTCTTCCAGCTGCCCCGGAAGTACACAGCGTTGACCAGGGTCAGCCGGGTCACACTGCTGAAGTCATCAGCTGACAACAGGTCACGGATCTTACCTGGAGACACACACACACCACACACACACCACACACACACACACACACACACCACACACACAGGGCTATTGGTTCTACCGGTGGTTAACAGAAAATATTCAGACCCCTTGACTTTTTCCACATTTTGTTACGTTACAGCCTTATTCTAAAATTGATTAAATTGTTTTTTTTCCTCATCAATCTACACACAATACCCCATAATGACAAAGCAAAAACAGGTTTTTAGACATTTGTGCTCATTTATTACAAATAAATAACTGAAATATAACATTTACATAAGTATTCAGACCCTTTACTCAGTACCGTACTTGTTGAAGCACCTTTGTCAGCGATTACAGCATTGATTCTTCTTGAGTATGATGCTACAAGCTTGGCACACCTGTGTTTGGGGAGTTTCTCCCATTCTTCTCTGCAGATCCTCTCAAGCTCTGTGAGGTTGGATGGGGAGCGTTGCTGCACAGCTATTTTTCAGGTCTCTCCAGAGATGTCCGATCGGGTTCAAGTCCGGCCTCTGGCTGGGCCACTCAAGGACATTCAGAAACTTGTCCCAAAACCACTCCTGTGTTGACTTGGCTGTGTGCTTAGGGTTGTTGTCCTGTTGGAAGGTGAACCTTCACCCTAGTCTGAGGTCCTGAGCGCTCAGGAGCAGGTTTTCATCAAGGATCTCTCTGTACTTTGCTCCGTTCATCTTTGCCTCGACCCTGACTAGTCTCCCAGTCCCTGCCGCTGAAAAACATCCCCACAGCATGATGCTGCCACCACCATGCTTCACCGTAGGGATGGTGCCAGTTTGACGCTTGGCATTCAAGCCAAAGAGTTCAATATTGGTTTATCAGACCAGAGAATCTTGTTTCTCATGGTCTGAGAGTCGTTAGGTGCCTTTTGGCAAACTCCAAGCGGGCTGTCGTGCCTTTTACTGAGGAGTGGCTTCCGTCTGGCCACTCTACCATAAAGGCCTGATTAGTGGAGTGCTGCAGAGATGGTTGTCCTTCTGGAAGGTTCTCCCATCTCCACAGAGGAACCATAGGGTTTTTCGTCACCTCCCTTACCAAAGGCCCTTCTCCCCGATTGCTCAGATTGGCCGGGCGGCCAGCTCTAGGAAGAGTCTTGGTGGTTCCAAACTTCTTCCATTTAAGAATGATGGAGGCCACTGTGTTCTTGGGGACCTTCAATGCTGCAGATATTTTTTAGTACCCTTCCCCAGATCTGTGCCTCGACACAATCCTGTCTCGGAGCTCTACGGACAATTCCTTCGACCTCATGGCTTGGTTTTTGCTCTGACATGCACTGTCAACTGTGGGACCTTATATAGACAGGTTTGTGCCTTTCCAAATCATGTCCAATCAATTGAATGTATCACAGGTGGACTCCAATCAAGTTGTAGAAACATCTCAAGGATAATCAATGGAAACAGGAAGCACCTGAGCTCAATTTCAAGTCTCATAGCAAAGGGTCTAAATACTTATGTAAATAAGGTATTTCTGTTTTCGCTTTGTCATTATGGGGTATTGTGTGTAGCTTGCTGAGTTTTCTATTTTTATTTAATCCATTTTAGAATAGGGCTGTAACGTAACAAAATGTGGAAAAAGTCAAGGGGTCTGAATACTTTCCGAAGGCACTGCACATGCATGCCTGTAAATAGACTGAGTATATCAAACATTAGGAACACCTTCCTAATATTGAGTTGCACCCCCCCCCCTTTTGCCTTCAGAACAGCCTCAATTCATCGGGATCATGGACTCTACAAGGTGTCGAAAGGTTTCCACAGGGATGCTGGCCCATGTTGACTCCAATGCTTCCCACAGTTGTATCAAGTTGGCTGGATGTCCTTTGGGTGGTGGACCATTCTTGATACACACGGGAAACTGTTGAGCGTGTTGCAGTTCTTGACACAATCCATGTCTCAATTGTCTCAAGGCTTAAAAATATTTATTTAACATGTCTCCTCCCTTCATCTACACTGATTGAAGTGGATTTAACAAGTGACATCAATAAGGGATCATAGCTTTCACCTGGATTCACCTGATCAGTCTTTGTCATGGAAAGAGCAGGTGTTCCTAATGTTTTGTACACTCAGTGTATAACCACACGCATCAGCATTAGGTGACATTGATTCCACACACAGACTCACTCTCAGTGTGGTTCTCTACCCAGCCATTGATCTGCTCTGCCACGGCGGCTGATTCGCTGAAGTCCACCGTCTCCACCTCCGCCCGGAAGTACTTCCTCATCAGCCGCAGGAACTCCGGGTTAAAGGTCACGCCACTCTGCAGGAAGAGGGAGTTGGCCAATCTGATGATGTAGTGAGCGTCGTCTTCAGACAGAGCCCCTGTCAGGTTCTGGAGCAGAGAGAACTCCTCATCTGGGAGACGGACAGAGAGACAGACATACGTCTTACTTACTGGGAGGTGGCTGTGTGAGTGTGTGTGTGTGTGTTCTAAGGTGTGTATACCTGTAGGTAGGTGGCTGAAGCCGACAGCCTGGCGTATCTCTGTGAGGGAGGCCCCACGGGCCCCCAGCTCCACCATGCCCAGGGCCACAGCCACACTCAGGGGGGAGAAGATGATGTTGTCGTCCCCCCCCCGCGCCTTGCAGCTGGTGGTACAGTCTGACGGAGAACTCTGCCGTGGTGTCCTCCGGAATGTCAGCCGCACGGCAACCAGGGCCCGGCAACAGGAGGAGGGGCAGGAGGCCGAGAATCAACATGGGAAAGCTGAGAGCTAGAGAGAGGGAGCGAGAGAGAAAGAGAGAGGGAGAGAGAGACAAAGAGAGAGAGAGAGAGAGAGAGAGAGGGGGGGTGGGGGGCGTGAGAAGAGAATGACGGAGAGACGGAACGTGTCAATCCTGCATGCCAATACAGCATATTAGTATCTGGAAATAGATAGAGGAGAACACACAGGGATGGCAGAAACAGAGAGAGAGATGGAAAGAGAAAGAGAATGGGAGGGAAAAGAGTAGACAGAGAGAAAGAGAATGGGAGGGAAAAGAGTAGACAGAGAGAAAGAGAATGGGAGGGAAAAGAGTAGACAGAGAGAAAGAGAATGATGGAAAGAATGTAGACAGAGAATGAGAGGAAAAGCAGTATTCTACTGTACAACTGTAATTACATTATACTGATAAACAGCCAGTTCAATCTTGACTGATAACAGCCATTATTCTACCTGACACTGTAAATACATATAGAGGGAAAAAAGTATTTAATCCCCTGCTGATTTTGTACGTTTGCCCACTGACAAAGAAATGATCAGTCTATAATTTTAATGGTAGGTTTATTTGAACAGTGAGAGACAGAATAACAACAACAAAATCCAGAAAAACGCATGTCAAAAATGCTATAAATTGATTTGCACTTTAATGAGGGAAATAAGTATTTGACCCCCTCTCAATCAGAAAGATGTCTGGCTCCCAGGTGTCTTTTATACAGGTAACGCGCTGAGATTAGGAGTACACTATTAAAGGGAGTGCTCCTAATCTCAGCTTGTTACCTGTTTAAAAGACACCGGTCCACAGAAACAATCAATCTATCAGATTCCAAACTCTCCACCATGGCCAAGACCAAAGAGCTCTCCAAGGATGTCAGGGATAAGATTGTAGACCTACACAAGGCTGGAATGGGCTACAAGACCATCGCCAAGCAGCTTGGTGAGAAGGTGACAACAGTTGGTGCGATTATTCGCAAATGGAAGAAACACAAAATAACTGTCAATCTCCTTCGGCCTGGGGCTCCATGCAAGATCTCACCTCGTGGAGTTGCAATGACCATGAGAACGGTGAGGAATCAACCCAGAACTACACGGGAGGATCTTGTCAATGATCTCAAGGCAGCTGGGACTATAGTCACCAAGAAAACATTGGTAACACACTACGCCGTGAAGGACTGAAATCCTGCAGCGCCCGCAAGATCCCCCTGCTCAAGAAAGCACATATACAGGCCGTCTGAAGTTTGCCAATGAACATCTGAATGATTCAGATGAGAACTGTGTGAAAGTGTTGTGGTCAGATGAGACCGAAATTGAGCTCTTTGGCATCAACTCAACTCGCCGTGTTTGGAGGAGGAGGAATGCTGCCTATGACCCCAAGAACACCATCCCCACCGTCAAACATGGAGGTGGAAACATTATGCTTTGGGGGTGTTTTTTCTGCTAAGGGGACAGGACAACTTCACTGCATCAAAGGGACGATGGACGGGGCCATGTACCGTCAAATCTTGGGTGAGAACCTCCTTCCCTCAGGAAGGGCATTGAAAATGGGTCGTGGATGGGTATTCCATCATGACAATGACCCAAAACACACGGCCAAGGCAACAAAGGAGTGGCTCAAGAAGAGCACATTAAGGTGCTGGAGTGGCCTAGCCAGTCTCCAGACCTTAATCCCATAGAAAATCTGTGGAGGGAGCTGAAGGTTCGAGTTGCCAAACGAAACCTTAATGACAGCCTCGAAACCTTAATGACTTGGAGAAGATCTGCAAAGAGGAATGGGACAAAATCCCTCCTGAGATGTGTGTAAACCTGGTGGCCAACTACAAGAAACGTCTGACCTCTGTGATTGCCAACAAGGGTTTTGCCACCAAGTACTAAGTCATGTTTTGCAGAGGGGTCAAATACTTACTTCCCTCATTAAAATGCAAAATCAATTTATAACATTTTTGACATGTGTTTTTCTGGATTTTTTGGTTGTCATTCTGTCTCTCACTGTTCAAATAAACCTACCATTAAAATTATAGACTGATCATGTCTTTGTCAGTGGGCAAACGTACAAAATCAGCAGGGGATCAAATACTTTTTTCCCTCACTGTATATATATATATATATATATATATATATCCCTCTACCAATAGGTGCCCTTCTGTGCGTGGCATTGGAAAACCTCCCTGGTCTTTGTGGTTGAATCTGTGTTTGAAATTCCCTGCTCAACTGAGGGACCTTACAGATAATTGTACGTGTGGGGTACAGAGATATGGAAGGCATTCAAAAATCATGTTATACAGTATTATTGCACACACAGTGAGTCCATGCAACTTATGTGACTTGTTAATCACATTTGACTTGTTAAGCACATTTTTACTCCTGAACCTATTTAGGCTTGCCATAACGAAGGGGTTGAATACTTATTGACTCAAGACATTTCAGCTATTCCTTTTTAATTAATTTGTAAACATTTCAAAAAACATAATTCCACTTTGACATTATGGGGTATTGTGTGTAGGCCAGTGACACACAATCTAAATGTAATCCAATTTTAAATTCAGGCTGTAAGACAACAAAATGTGGAAAAAGGCAAGGGGTGTGAATACTTTCTGAAGCAACTGTATATAAACTGAGTGTACAAAACATTAAGAACACCTTCTCTTTCCATGAAATAGACTGACCAAATGAATCTAGGTGAAAGCTATGATCCCTTATTGATGTCACTTGTTAAATCCACTTCAATCAGTGTAGATGAAGGGGAAGAGACACGTTAAATAAATATTTTTATTCCTTGAGACAATTGAGACATGGATTGTGTGTGTGTATACACTGAGTATTCCAAACATTAGGAACACCTTCCTGATATTGAGTTGCACCCCCCCCCCCTTTTGGCCTCTGAACAGCATCAATTCATTGGGGCATGGACTCTACAAGGTGTCAAAAGGTTTCCACAGGGATGTTGGCCCATGTTGACTCCAATGCTTCCCACAGTTGTGTCAAGTTGGCTGGATGTCCTTTGGGTGGTGGACCATTCCTGATACATACGAGAAACTGTTGAGCGTGAAAAATCCAGCAGTGTTGCAGTTCTTGACACAAACCGGTGTGCCTGGCACCTACTACCATACCCCGTTCAAAGGTACTTCCATTTTTTGTCTTGCCCATTCACCCTCTGAATGGCACATACAAAATCCATGTCTCAATTGTCTCAAGGCTTAAAATTCCTTATTTAGTATGTCTCCTCCCCTTCATCTACACTGACTGAAGTGGATTTCACAGGTGACATCAATAAGGGATCATAGATTTCACTTGGATTCGCCTGGTCAGTCTGGAAAGAGCAGGTGTTCTTAATGTTTTGTACACTGAGTGTATAGCCAAGTTATCGTTACTCAATTATTCCTTTTATTATTACGTGTTTTACTTTTCTATTATTTCTATATGTTCTGTCTGCATTGTTAGTTTCTAATTTCACTGTTAGTCTACACCTGTTGTTTGCAGAGCATATGACTAATAAAATGTGATTTTATATGAGGAAGAGGAGGAGGAAGAGTGATAAAGCTGTCCTCCTCCAGCGTGCTGTCAACTGCAGACACAATAAACTCTGTTTGGTGCCAATTTACCAAATGAGCTCATGCATATTTCATCCCTAATCTTATCATCTCCTGTTAAATCATATTTGTCTTCTAAATCTGCTTGCCTCAGTGCCATGAGAATGCTTGTGTGTGTGTGTGTGTGTGTGTGTGTGTGTGTGTGTAGGTGTGTAGGTGAGGGTGTGTGTGTGAGAGAGAGTAGGTGAGCCTAACCAAACATAAAATATGTGCCATGAATAATTGAGTAGTGCATCTCTCCCTCTTTCTCTTGCCCTCCGTAAATACATTCCTCCATCCCTGTATTTGTCCATCTTTTATTTTCTTTGCTCCATATCCCTCCCTCCCTCCCTCCCTCTCAACCTTCCTTTCCTCCAGTCCACACTCTCCCTTCTTCCATCCTTTCATCCCTCCTTATCTCTACTCCCCCCCCCCCCCCCCCCCTCTCTCACAGCAGCATGTTACACAGTTTCTGGCTGCTCCTGCTAAACACACACATGAACACACACATGCACACACACACACGCAGTTCATGCAGTTTCATCCCTCTGCCTCATACCGTTGCCTGGCAACGCTGTTTTCTGCACAAACAAGGAAAACAGGAGCGTGCCACTGCGTTTTTAGAGCGATAGAGGGAATGAGAGAGAGAACGAGAGGGAGAGGGGGACAGAGGGAGAGGGGGACAGAGGGGATGTCCCACCCTGGTTCTCTGTTGTGTATTGCTGAGCTGCTGAATAGGTTCAGGTACCCTGCATGCTGTTTGTGTGTTTGGGGCTCCGTGTGTGTGTGTGTGTGTGTGTGTGTGTGTGTGTGTGTGTGTGTGTGTGTGTGTGTGTGTGTGCTCCCACACTGGGCCAGAAGCTCCTGTGGGTGCTGGTGACTGCAGTGACATTGTACATGAGACAACAATGACAGGGCTGGCTCAATACTGCAGCTCTGTCCTGGTACCTGCTACCTCTCCCCTCTCCCTGACTGGCAGACAGGAGCCTACCCACTGGGCACAAACGTCAATTCCATGTTGGTTCAACGTAATTTAGAAATTACGTGGAAACAACGTTGATTCAACCAGTGTGTGCCCAGTGGGTAGCCTGTTGAATTCTATGCCCTATAGCACACAACTATCATATCCATGCAGGCTTCCTCACTTCTGTTCTAGGAACTGTCTCGAAACATGGAATATGTCAATGATTCTAGAATCCTCTCCATTGGAATGTGAGACATATGACTGGGATGGTAATTTAATAACTGTGTAACTGATGGTTATGGATGAAAACCTTCATGAAAATAAAAATAACCATCAAAACCTTTTAAATAGGCCTACATTCATTTTAGGATTTATTTTTTATTTGTATTAACTTTATTTTCATGTAGATAAACTTGACCTAATAGCAGGGGTGTTTACTAATGATTATAAGCAATTGTTTTGCTAATTTAGTTTGTCTATTAAAC